ATTCCTCCTAACTGTATTGATATTTCTTCCAAATACCTAATGCTCTATTTAACATTTGGTATAAATATCTATTGTTGCTTTTGCAAAAATATGTGTCTCGACCGATCCAAAGAATTAAATATACAGAAAAAATAGCTTTCGTTAGGGTGGCCATAACAATAGATAAAAACATGTAGTAATTAGGATTATTTGAAACTATTTTACATATATACTTCATGAATCATAGATTCCTTTAGAAGAATTATAATATGACAAAGATAATTGTCTTCTTACAAGTTGAAAAACAGGATTGTTGGCCATAGTAAAGAGAAATCTTCTCCGTGTTTCTCTTCTTCGGTACGTAGAGCCTATTCTGTTTGAAGAGGTAAGGCGCTGCTGATTTCTCTCCGACCAATACGAAAAAAACATATATTTCGAAGTCATTGCACCTAAGGAACGATCAAATTCAGCTAGTCTTTGCTCAATTGATGTCTCTGATTTCGCCGATATTTATACAGTAGATAGGTCTCACAAAGTTAGCAATATAACCAAAATTTCAGCTCATTTGAATAAGCCGTTCAGGAGATACAGGCATTTCAAAGTCTCGCGACTCGCTCAGCTCTTTCTCGTAGAAATCGTGCTTTCAGATATTACACTTTAACGCTATTATTGTGTATATTAATTTATTTTTAGTGTAGATTAGATATTTTTACAAAAGCAACAATAGATATTTATACCAAATGTTAAATAGAGCATTAGGTATTGTGAAGAAATATCAATACAGTTAGGAAGATTATGGATGATTACATCAAAAAACGAAATTAACAAAGCACGATAGGCAATATCTGATGCAATGAGAGAAAAGGGACAGTTACTACAATAATTAAGATAAATGTAAAGAAAGAGATAAAGAAATAAAACATGCACGAATAATTATTTTAAGGTAATTTCAAACTGTAATACGTTTTATATGCTTGCAATAACACTAGGCTCTTAGCAAAGTATCGATTTACACATATCTCAAACAATGAACGAGGTACACTCTCGTTTTGTTTTTTTGTCAAGTTCATCTAAACGTTTCGGTTCAGCGTCTTGCACAAAAGAAGGTTGAACTTGTAGAACCTTCATGTGGAAAGGTCGAAGGATAACTATATCATCCCCTTTCTTCACTCTACTGAGTTGTGCATATATCGATGCTACTTGCAGTGTCCCAGGTGGAACTTGAAGATCGACTACGATTTTGTTCATTGTGAGTCCTTGCGCCTTGTATGTAGTTATAGCGAAGGCAGGTACAATGCCCGACCCCAGAATGTCTTCGGTAAATTTTTATGAAAAAACTGTTTTTTACAAAAAAGTCGCCCTTTGTATAAAAAAACTAATCCATGTAAATATTTTTAAAAAATAGCGCCAAATTCGAGTTCATCGACCCAAATAACTCCTTAGTCAAATTTTATAACAAAAAGTTTTTTTGTAAAAAAGTCCTTCTTTGTCTAAACAAATTCTTTTTTATGAAAAATTTCCAAAAAATAACGTCAGATTCGAAGTCTCCGCCTCGAAATACATCTAGAAATGTCTTTTCGGAAAAATTGATTTTCAATGTTTTTTTGACCCTGCGGACATACAAGCAAGCAATCAATCAAACAAACAATTTATATTTCTAAGACTCTTCTCTACGAGAAAGAGAATATGAATGAAGATGTATATTTATATGAACGAAAGTCATTTATATCCTCAAGAAATGAGTAATATAGATATCGTTAACTTGATTCGAATATTAAACTAATCCTTCGAAGTCTGAAGTTATAAATGTAGAACTTAACGCTTCGAGTTTAAAAGTTTAATATTCGCATTTTCTTCTTTCGCCCATGTGCTATGAACCACATGAAAACCACCGATTAACCATGAGTTGCATAATTCGGCTTATATTATAAATGGACATCTGATAGACTAATCTCAGTTCGAATATAAATAGATGTATATCTATATAAACCTATACGTTTATGAATAGATAGGTATAGATTTAGTTATACCTGTGCGTACCGATGGACATAGGCTGACATATAGCTCGCCTGAGAGTATTCCTGTATATTCCTAAACACACATGTGGGTGGGCTTAGGCAGAGCTGAACCTATCCCTATCTATTCGTAAACTGGCATGGGTGAATAGGCATAGCTAAATATATCGCTATCTATTCCTTGGTATGTGTTTGAGTGTATTAAGAATTCGTCACTTATCTTATAAGTCGAATTAGGCAGCTACTCCAAAATTAACACGAAATTTGAAGCTCCATTCTATAATGACGCGATCTTCTGCAGATACTTCGAAATTTGTGAATACTCTTTAACAAAAACGTTTCTCTCCTGCTTCACAGGGTATGGTGCCATGAGTCATAGCCGAGAGAAAAAGTATCGACAAGCGTGTCTCTAATCAAATGGGAAAAGGAAAGAGAAAAAAAAGAGAAGAATCTACCGCCATCATACGTCGAAACTAAACTTTTCGTTGTAGTTTTGGATTTGAAAGCGTGTTGATACTTTAAGTGTGCCTAATAGGGAAAAGGGTGTTTATATTAACGATAGTTCAAATGTCTAAATGATTTGTAATACCACATACTTGGTTAAATAATGGTAGTAACGAATGTTTGAAGCTAATGCTGCGAATAGATTTATGGCAATGGTTTGTGTCTGAAATCAATAAAGAAATGTAGATTAAAATAAAAAAGCAACTGCTTACTTAGGTTCAACGTCAATTCGATCAGCTGTCTTCACAGAGGCTTGCTTTTCCTTGGTGCTTAAACCACTAATTGCTGATGTAAGTTCTTCAATATTCTTTTGTCCAAACGAAACTGCTGCCTCTCCCTCACCAACAATTGCCGATGCACCTGATGCACCTTCTTCATCGTCTTTATCTCGATCATTTTCTTTTTGAAGTGTTGTTGCTATCATATCGTCGTAAATTTCGTACAATAATTGAGTAAGAAAACGAATAACGCGAAGACATTCTATGAAGCGATCACCTGGATGATTAAGCCATTGGTTGAAGTTCGAAGTATGTGAACCAATGAGAGCCGCAAATTGCCTTTGATTAACTCCTGCTTCTGCTAACAGACGTCGAACAAATATTCGTGCTTGATCGTCTCGATCATTTTCATTAACCACACCAAAAGTAGGTTCACCACTTGTTCGAATTCTGACAATCGCATCGCGCAATTGTGTACGTTTTTGTTGTAAAGTTTTAATACCTTGTGACATTATAATGATAATAAGCAATCAATAATCTAAAATAAATGAACTAGAAGAGAAATAAAAGAAGAAAGAAAAAAAAAAACAGATGATGTAAGGCATGCTGAGCGACGTCAACAACACGTGAAAATGATTCACAATGAAACCACGTCGGGTAAGAACAAGAAACAAAAAAATGGAAACGTCACATATGACGTATCCAAAAACGGCTACGGAAACTTTATAAATACTGCCGTCTAATTTTTGAATACAAACGCTGTCTTTAGAATGGTTTTCTTAAAATCAGAAACAGTATTCAGCTATGTAGGCATTATATTATGTGTCAAGTTTTAGCATTAATTTACAATTTTCACGACACTTTCAAACGTTTATACTCAGCAGGGGTGCCCCTCATTTTCGTATTATACCAAATTTGACGAAAATAAGCAGTCATCCTATTTCGCGGAACGTGTGCGCATGGATGTGAACAGTTTTATTTGATGCTAATCCTCATCCACACTAATACCCCATGTTCTTAAATTAAATAGTGGTCATTGCATATCATACATATTTTTTATTGTAAAACTTTTCAAATACATATAAAAGAAATAGGTATAAAAAGGAAGTTGTTGTCATTTGCTTGGCCTTATATATTCACTTTATTATTGATTCTTTAAGTCAAACTGATATCATAGCATAAAGAATATCCCAATTGAACTATATGACTCATCCATGAAGAAAAATGATTACTTGATACCCATTAGGTTAATCTTAAATGTTATTCGAATATAATAAATCAATGATAGTTTTTTTTATTAATTTTGCTCATTTTTCCTTCGAACTTAAAATCGTTCGGTGAAGGCATAAAAAAACTTTCCCATAACCAACTAGTTTAGATAGTTTTAAAATGTTGTGATGGTCTAACGAAGTTTTACGAGATAGCTCTAATGTGTTTACGACTAATATGAGATAGAAAATGACAAAATAGGAAAATTCCTACTCTTATCCATTGCCGATCCGACATACATGCTCTTGCAATTACGTTTAAACATTTTGGTAGTATTCTTGATGATTCATAAACGGTACGTTTTAAGTTCTGATCTTTTAGTTTTGATTATTAAGCTTTAAATCATCGTGTTGTTTCATACTACTCTGTTAGTAAAAAATTTCTTTTCTTTACGCACGCATATTCTCACATGAAGAAAATGGCTCGTCAGAGAACTATTTTAGATTGGGATCCAGATATTGATAATACGATTGCGATATTGTTGACATTGTTATCATCAGTTAGTTGTTGTCGGAAATGAAAAAGAATTACACCGATTGTTTGTTCATTGTGGTTGAATCATTTGATAGTAAGAGAAATCTTTACTGGCAATGGTTGAAAGGATCTAATCCAATATCAAGATTTAATCCAACTAGATAGTTACTTACTGATGAGTTATCGATACCAATTTATAATAGGATACTCTTTAAATGCTTTCATATACAACGTCGAAGAAACAGCATAGATTATGAAGATGAGAATCGATGTTATAAATGAAAAGAAATAACCAGGAAGAAGTAATCATAAATTCCTTGATGTTCTCACACGCGTGCAGGTAATGCTGAAATGATTAGACGAGGCATTGATAAAACAAGAAGTGCTTTAGTTGTGCAGCTGATCATTTTCGAGTAGATCAAAAAATAATAAATAAAACCCAAAAGTAGTTAGTAAGCAATGGAACAATAAGATTAAAAAATATGAAATAACAACAATGTTGTACTCTTGAAGAGAAGAAGAATAACAAATTACATACTATACTTGTCAATTCTTGGGCTAAGCTGAATGCTACCAAGCGGGTCCACAGGTTGCGGATAGTGGAACGACCATTAGTATAATGGCTAGCTGCGAATAAGATCAAGCAATTGATCAAATAAGCAGTCCCGGACAAGACCCAGCCTTCTTGCCAGCAGGGTGTGGTGGAGCTCGAATTGGCACCAAGACTCCTATAAAATGCCACAGAAACCCACAGACGACAGGATGATAGGGCGAGTATAGACCGCCAGAAGCCAGGTTCCTCCCGAACCGAGTTTCATAAGTCTTAGCCTGGGTAGGTGAAGCTCGTTAGCTTGACTAGCAAATTCACCAAATGGAGAAAACCATTCTAAACCGGCGGAAGGCAAGGGGAAACCACCGCCGTATATTCCCAAGCACAACATGATTAACGTCAATATTTCCAATCAAGATAACAGCGTGAAGGGGGTTCTCAGAGAGAACATCTCGCTCGGTAGAGATGGTCACGTAAGACAGGTGACCCTCGATCGTCAACAGGCTACTGTCCAAACTAAAAACACACTCAAAATAGGAACTTGGAATGTAAGAACTATGTTTCAAAAAGGAAAATTAGAAAACGTAAAGAAAGAAATGCAAAGATTGCAAATAAATGTACTAGGACTATCTGAAGTCAGATGGACGGGTGCTGGATCTTTCACATCAGATAATTTTACTCTATTCTATTCTGGAGGAGATCAACATGAGAGAGGAGTAGGCATACTTCTTGACAAAGAAACTTCTAAATGTGTAAAAGGCTTTTGGGCTGCCTCAGATCGAGTTATTCTAATAAAACTCCACGGCAAACCTTTTAACATCTCATTGATTCAATGTTACGCACCCACAGCTGACTCTGATGATGATGCAATTACGAATTTTTATGAAGATCTAGACAATGCCTACTCACAATGCAATTCAAATGATATCATCTATGTAATGGGTGATTTCAATGCAAAGGTGGGGGACATAAGAATTGGTAATACAGTAGGACCTTTCGGATTAGGCAATAAAAACGATAGAGGAGATATTTTAATAAATTGGTGCCAATCACACAATTTTGTTATAACAAATACATGGTTCAAAAACCATCCACGTAGGTTATGGACATGGAAAGGTCCAGGAGATCGAGTCAGAAACCAAATAGACTACATTATGGTCCCGAATCGTTTCAGAAATGCGATCATATCCTCCAAAGCATTTCCTGGGGCAGATTGTGGTAGTGATCATGTCCCAGTTATCAGTGAAATAAGAGTCAAATTAAAAAGACTAAAGAAATCAAAACAAATTCCTAAACTTCAAATTCAGCTCCTCAAAAATAATAATGATGTAAAAGAAAAATTCTGTATAGAGGTACAGAATCGTTTTGAAGCACTGGATGATATAACAGAGGTTGAAGTATTGTGGGAGAAAATGAAATCTTCTATACTAGAAGCTACTGAAGCAGTACTTCCAAAAATCAAAATGAATAAGAAAAAGAGATGGATGACTGAGGATATACTACAACTGATGGAACAAAGACGACTCAAGAAGTCAAATCCACTCGAATATAAACTTTTAGACAAAGAAATCAAAAAGAAATGCTCAGAAGCAAAAGAAACACGGTTGAACGAGCAGTGCTCAGAAATCGAGAATAAACTGAGTATAAACACCAAATATGCTCATATGAAAATAGATGAAATCACAGGAAAATCAAGATGCACTAGCTCTGGTTGTATCAAATCAAAAAGTGGGACCATCCTTATGGAAAAACATGATATACTGAATAGATGGTCAGAATACATTGAAGAACTTTTTGATGATAATAGAGCTGCTAAACCTATAATAAAGAAAAATATTGAAGGACCAACAATAATGAAAGATGAAGTAAGAAAAGCTATAAAATCAATGAAAACAAATAAAGCAACAGGTCCTGACGGAATATCCGTTGAAATGATTCAATGTCTCGATGAAATAGGTGTTGATATGATGACTAAATTAATAAACCAAATATATGACACCGGCAATATCCCAGAAGATTTAACTAAATCAATATTTATAGCTCTTCCAAAGAAGTCTGGAGCTACAGAATGTGAACTTCATCGCACAATCAGTCTCATGAGTCATGTAACAAAAATTCTACTCAAGATTCTAATGATGAGGATGAAAAATAAGATCACACCAGAAATAGCTAAAGTACAATACGGATTCATGCCTGATAAGGGCACTAGAAATGCCATCTTCATCCTCAGAATGATAATCGAAAGATCAATAGAAGTCAAGCATGACATATATCTCTGTTTTCTTGATTACACAAAAGCGTTTGACAAAGTCAAACATGAGAATATGTTCGAAATCCTAGAAAAGCTTGACATTGATAGTAAAGATCTTTGATTGATACGTAATATTTACTGGGATCAAAAAGCTGCCATTATATTATAGAAATTTTTTGTAAATCTTTGAAAATTTCTGAAAAAAATTCATAAAAATGCTTGAAATATTTTGAAATACTACACAGAACTTCGTAAAATAAATTGTTGTCTTAACTAATCAAAACATATAGGAAAATTCTGACAAAGTAATATTTCAACGGGCAAGGTTCCTCAATACGAAATTACAATGGGCAAACCTCAAATTTAAATGGGCAATCGCCCATTTGCNATGATCTTCTATTCATTCGACTACCAAAAGAAACTAGATAAGAAATTCTTATTGTATGATTTGCTTCGAAACGAACATCTTTCATAGCGCTGCATGTGTTCAGAATACTGTTTCTACAGTCAATGCGCCTGTAGTTACTAAGATGGAATTCCCCCGACGGGCATATCGCTTTGCGAACTACTTCTACTAAATTCCCATGAAAGGACATGATATATGTAGCCTAAAAAGCAAAGATGATACGAAGCTCATATCACTTTTTCGGATTTTTCAATTAGAAACGTCATTATGTACAATGCATTAAATCTTTTCGTGTAAGTTCTTAAGCTACAATCTTTGTACACATGACGTCCGTGAATAGCGTTCAGCTCACCATCTTCTATAAAAGATTTTAGAACAGATAAAGAAAAATATCTCCTTTGTAAAGAGGCAGGAACAAGCCCAGGCTCAGCGAATAAAACGAAATTCATCCTCAAATTCGAATTTCCCGACGCCAGAAATCCTTCGGTTTACTCTTACTCGACAACGAAGAAAATTTTCACCGCTTAATTAACTAATTAGCTAATGAGCTGATTGGAATTTCGAGAAACCAACCTCGGATTTGAGATCCTCGACGTGGATTACCGTACCGGTAATCATTTTTTAACAACTATCGATCAATTTCATTGATTTTAGAAATGTTGATTTCTGAGTGGATAGGACAGACTGACAGACAGACAGACAAACTTTAAGCTTTTTAACACAGGATATAAACGCTGTATAACCCTTTCTTTCACAAAAGGGAAAAAGTACATCGTTGTCTTCGGGTCTCTCAATATAATTCAGCACTGTTGAGAGGACAACATCCGCCAATAACTAAAACTGTTTTATCGAGTAATGTCGCTGCTGCATGAGATGATCGTGCAACACTCATATTTCCAGTCATTGCCCAAGTACTAGTTGATTGATCATACAATTCAGCACTATTCAGGTAAATACCACCATCCTGGCCACCAGTAACTAAGACTTTTCCATTTGATAATATCGATGCCGTATGATATCCTCGTGCAACACTCATATTTCCAGTCATTGTCCAAGTACCTGTTAATGGATCATACAATTCAGCACTATTCAGATAAATAGCACTGTTGAATCCACCAGTGACTAAGACCTTTCCATCTGATAATATCGATGCTGTATGATATTCTCGTGCAACATGCATATATCCAGTCATTGTCCAACTACCAGCTGATTGATCATACAATTCAGCACTATTCAGGTAAATACCACCACCGTTGAGTCCACCAGTGACTAAGACTGTTCCATTTGATAATATCGATGCTGTATGAGATGATCGTGCAACACTCATACTTCTAGCCATTGTCCAATTACCAGTTGATGGATCATACAATTCAGCACTATTTTGTGAAATACCACCGTTGAATCCACCAGTGACTAATACTTTTCCATTTGATAATACTGATGCTGTAGGAAGTCGTCGTGCAACATGCATATATCCAGTTTTTGTCCAGCCTACAGAAAGATTGAGAATATAAAGAAAGAGATCTTTCGTGAGAGAAAGCAATGTGAAGTCCATCAGATTTAGCGGTTGATCACCTGTGAAACAAAAAATCGCCTATCTCAAGAATTTATAAAAGCTTTCTCTGTTCCCAAATACCTATAGTTTCACTTAAACACTAGATACACTGTGTACCTTAGCGTGCTCGTGATCCGTAGCCTTTCTCGAGATCGTTTACACAAGCATATCATATATCAAAATACCTCACAAGGTGTTTTTCCTGTATAGATCAGTCATTATCATGTCAGCAAAGTTAGGCGTTCTCTTCTATGTGAACTTGTTCTTCTGATTAGCTAGGGAATCACGAAATCGCCATGCAACTGCAGCGACTTCGCATAGTTGTTTACCTCGAGGAGAACATTGATTATTCGATCCTAGATTTCTTCGATAACAAATAACACTTGCTCGAACATCTCCAGATGATGTTATATTACCAGATTGACAATCCTCACTAAACATCAAACAAGTTCGATTGTCATGATAATAAACAGCTGTTGGACATTGATCTTGGTGAGCACATTGCCAAATACAAGATTGAATCGATGCGCCGGCTGGCAAAGTGATATTTGAAAGGAGAGCACAAGAAGAATTGGTGAAAAAGAGAGAAGATCGATGAACTTGACTGATGATAATGGCATCGATTGAGGAGATAAGGAGAGAAATGACCAGAATCAGGTGCATTTTCTTCCACTGTTCTTTTAGTTGAAATGAAGAGAGAAATGTAATGAAAAAGGAATCGGAACACATTAGAATAAATTTCCACGGACCAATCTACTTGTTGGAAAAGAATGAAACGTCCTCTAATTGACGACTTCGTTCTGTCGTTCATTTCCTCTCAAACAAAGAATCTCTATTTTGTAAATTCTCTTGAGTTTACAAACATGAGACGCGTTACGAAACACTTTTGAAAAATCTTCAGTTTCAACTGATTTGCTTCTATCTATTTGACTTCTATTGAATGACACTGTATCTTTGTAATAGTGTTGAACTGATGAGGTCGCATATGGAACTCAAAAAACGTTTCCGTTTACAGATTGAAATGAAAAATCAATCCAGCGTCTTTCTATCAATGAGAATGCCTATTGTATAGACATTGCAAGCTCAAATAAAAACAGGAAACAGAAAAGAATTCAGCTGAGCCGCAGTTATCTGATAGTTATATCAGTACAAAATCAAGCAAAGGGCGTTTTCGAATAATACTCATGTTATTGTTCATTTCTTTTATAAGAATGATTGATAGAAAATGATGACTTAAGGTAATAAATCATTTCCAAATAAACTCCGTTCATATCGATTTTTATTTATTATAATCCATAGCTGTGATGTAGTATGGAATAGTCCACATACATAACATCATCATGTATTTTTCTTTCTCGTTCTTGGACTTTTCCTAGACACACACATATATATATATGTTGGCGTCCAATGTGAGATTCAGGCCAATCTAAGATCCGCCTAGGCGAAAGTGGAATTCCACATTGGACTAGTCCAAAGTCGGATTATTGCTATTTNGTCTCGAGATAGCTTGGCAAGACGTGATGACAATACCAATTATGGATTTTTGTAGCGAATCAAATTTAATTTCAACTTCTTAAAGAGAAGTCAAGTCGGTAAACTACTTATCTTACATTGACGCTTCCTAAGGTGTTTTTGATTTCTTTCAAGTCACAGAATAGTTAAACAACAAATGATTGACACAAATCAATGTTAATATTTTTGTCAAATGTTTGGAAACTATCCGATCAAAAGTAAGTTGATATCTACGAGATTATGATATTAGAGTATTTAACATCGAAGTATCATACTCTGTTTTGTTGTGACTATGCAACTAAGTGTTAAACAAATTATAGTTTGAATAAATATATGGAAAGGTGTGTTGAATGTTCTTATTCTATCACAAGAAACAAAACAAATAAAACAACGTTTTCTAATCGAGTGACACTAAAGTTTGACATTTGTCCAACGAGATGTTAATGTGAACATGGAATATNTAGCAGTAACCCGACTTTCGACTAGCCACATGTGGAATTCCACTTTCGCCTAGGCGGATCTTAGATTGGCCTGAATCTCACATTGGACGCCAACATATATATATTCATCTATTCTATATATGTGTGCTTGGATAGTTCTGTTTCTCCTGTTCTTTCTCTTGTCTCTCTTTTTTATCTTTATTCACGAATAAAGATTTCTAATTATATATATACGAATATATAATAGTCTCGAGATAGCTCGGCAAGACGTGATGACAATACCAATTATGGATTTTTGTAGCGAATCAAATTTAATTTCAACTTCTTAAAGAGAATTCAAGTCGGTAAACTACTTATCTTACATTGACGCTTCCTGAGGTGTTTTTGATTTCTTTCAAGTCACAGAATAGTTAAACAACAAATGATTGACACAAATCAATGTTAATATTTTTGTCAAATGTTTGGAAACTATCCGATCAAAAGTAAGTTTATATCTACGAGATTATGATATTAGAGTATTTAACATCGAAGTATCATACTCTGTTTTGTTGTGACTATGCAACTAAGTGTTAAACAAATTATAGTTTGAATAAATATATGGAAAGGTTTGTTGAATGTTCTTATTCTATCACAAGAAACAAAACAAATAAAACAACGTTTTCTAATCGAGTGACACTAAAGTTTGACATTTGTCCAACGAGATGTTAATGTGAACATGGAATATAATTACAAAAATCTTCCATTTTCTATGCAGAACATAACTTCAAACGAAGTTAAATCGTAACTACAATATTAATTTGAGGATGTGGAGTGAGATTAAATGAAATGATTGAAGCTAATTTTGTCAAAAGCAATGTCCAGAAAATGAATTCTAATCAAAATAAAAGAATTTGTTTTGAATCATTCAGAGAAATTCTAATAGTTTCAGGAGGCGTTTCAACTTCTTTTCTTGGACTTCATTGACAAGATGTACTTTTTGTAAGAGAACAATCGTTTTCCTAAGAAATATCATCGTCATCAAGGTACATCAGAATATTTTTCAAATCAAATGTTGTCAGTGACATCAAAAGTTGATCTATGATCGGATTCTATATTCTCCAGCTTATGGTGAAAGATCTTCGTGATATATAATGTGGGAAATCTATTGTGAGTCAGTAGGCACGTACTGAATTCGATTGATGGAAGAAGAATGAGTGTAAAAATACTACCATTCATTCTTAAGATGATCTTGAAGTAAAAATAGAATTGTTTGAAAACAATGTTAATCAAAATGTCAACAAACAAAAATATCCAGATGCTGACGAATCGTTTGTCGTCGAATGAAAGAAGCGAAATTTGTCAACGGATAAACAACATTCGAAAGTCTTGATAAGATTCACGTTTATCTTTTACGGCAACAGAATATATTAGGAACTTTGTTTTTCGTGGTTCTAAATTAGTTCTTTTTGTCATGGCGCGTGCATAATATCGAAATAATTTTCGTTTTAATCGACTTTCATCATTGGACATAGTGATTATGTCATGGGAAGATCTTTATTCAACACAATAAATGATACAAAACAAATAACAAATGCTTTAAAACATATTGGATTTTTTATTCATGGAAATGAAGAGGAGGTGGATGATTTCACATTTTGCGGACTGCGCTTATTTGCTATTTTATATGAAACGAGAAACCACTTAACCTCAATCAAACATAAAACTGGAAATATCTCATTGTTAGATATTTACTTTTGTATGAAAATTCGAATTTCTACTACCAAACGAATAGATGAACTCTGTTTATGGACACGTATTATTGAAAATGGAAGAAAGATCTATACATAGTTTTTAGTACCTATAGAAGAATTTCAGATATATTTTCAAAAGGAGAAAACGTCATGCGAGTAACTAATTAGTTTTATATATGTTCGTTTTAATCATCGACCAAACATACTCTCAATAGGAGTACAGCATTCAATGCAAGGCGAAAAGCTCTATAAGATGCACTATTGAATTTGATTTATATATACATGTTTTTTATTTTCAAAATGATGCATAATCGTTTTTCGAGTTTACAAGAATGATCATATTTTCTTAACATAGGCCATTGCACAATTTAAAAGCAACTGATGCATTCGCATATAATGATTTGTTATGCAAATTGTAGAGCTTTTCAAGACGCATTTTGAGATTTATGAGGATTTTTGATTCTAGAAAACATCAGATAGGATAAATTTGAAATTAGAATAACGATTTTCGAATGTGTATACAGAGAGGTCTCTGGCAAACTAGAAAAATAGTTCCAATCCTTTTTTTTGAAAATAAAATGTACATGCATCGACTACAGCCCATGGTGGATCTTGTAAAGCTTCTCACGCTGCATCTTTGAATGTATTTTATTCGTAAAAAAACGTATTGATAAAAGTACTGATCGTTTGTAAAATAGATGCTAGCTTTGAAAGTGAGGTACAGTTTATATTCGACATTAGTGAAATATATGGAAAATACGGAGAGACACATTTATTCTTTGACACGCGCTAATTCTTTTTCACTTAGGTTTAAATAGAATATAAATTTATTCATCTGTTCAATAATTTCTTTTTAGTTATTAGTAAAAGAATATTAATATTTATCCACGTGAATCTATAGCATTCAGAAAGAAAAATTTAGCCAAATCGCACTTAAATAAATAAGTCCCATCTATACAAACTGATCTATTCGATTCAGAATATAATTCCACATCAAATGGTAATACTTTTATTCACGTGAGGGCGTAAGATCAGTTAGCAAGATACGTGCTTAGATCTTTTGTATCAGCAACGTCTTCTTTGCTTCCTGTGATATCTATTCACTTTTTCATTTCGAAATAAAGTAAAACGTTCCGAACCACACGAAACAACCTTCTTGTTTTCTAATAGTAGGTGTTAGAGTAAGTGTCGTCGACGTGTCATGAGAGAAGCTAGATTAAGGTGGTGTGCACGCGTTCGCGTATTCTCTACTTGTTTTGAAAACGATCGTGTCTTATATATATGGGAAAATCATAGGCTACCACAAATTTAGGGATGCATACAAAGAAAAGTTAGATGATATCATTTCAGACATTATCACGATGATTCATCCTCTTGCGGTGGGCAAAACGAATCATCTGTTGGCTGATTTTCATTGTTTTATTAAGTTTATGGCATGAAATGTTTAGCCATCAATTAATCGTAAATTCCCGGGCGATCAGTCGACACACATGGTGTATTGTCGGTTATCCATACCCATGGATGAAATATTATCGAATGACAACGAATCTTTTTCTACTAAATTTGATTAATTAATGATAGTTGCAACAGGATTCCTTCTATATAAATCAACGCATTTCAAGTACAATCTGAAAAGGAGTCAAAAGAATGAAAGTTTACGTGGGGTATCTCCAAAGCAAAGTCCACTTTACGGAAGTCCCTTGGCATTGATTATACTCGGTATGATGAGATTAGTTTTGCATTTACATTGAATTGTATTGTTCATCGATGACAGAAATATATTTATCTCATCTCATTTACCGCACCGATTACAACTTGTCCGATATTTGTTTTACCATTCAAGATCTATCGAGATGACTTTCAGAAAATTGCCCAAAACAAACTTCGAACAGCTTGTTGGAAATGAACTGCTTGCTTGTTTATATGCATAATTTATTTTCCAATCATGAAAATAAATGTTCTTTGATCGTACTCTCGTATTCACTCTGATTCTATCGTGCACTAGGAAGCAAATGCATTTTTAGTTTTTATTCGCTACAATCTACCACGTAACCTTACTTAGAGCTTGACAGTAACAGATCTAAACAGTCTACGGATTAGTTTCTTCTAAGTCTATTCAGTTTCAAGATGTTTCCCTTCGAGATACTAGGAAACGGTGAAAGATAATTTTAGTCAGTTGATGTCATCAAATAGTCATCAATCCAATTTGTCCTCTGAAAGTCTCTCAATTCCATTTCATTGCTACTCGTAACACTCGCCACCTCAGCCTTAATTCGCCACCATCTGAATATTTGCCATATGCCATAAATAATAACAGACAATACGACTAACACAAGGCACACAATTACGATCACCTTCAACCATGTCGAGTGAAGCAACCTTAACCATGATGAGCCATACTCCAACGAGTTACTAGCTTCCGTTACCACTGACTCCGGTGAAAGAGTGGAACTAAATCTAGACGTGATGTGGCCATCAACACATTGCTCACTCGCCGTGTTGTAACAAACAGCTTGGCACAATTGAATTTGGTTCACACCGTAATTCCCATACCACCCAGTAACATTACATATAGTCATATTCTTGACACACACTTGATTTAATCCAAGACATTTTCCATTACAAAATCCCGGTAATCGCGCACAAAGTGTGTTGTTAAAGCATTGTTGGTACNAGATGGATTATAACAGTTGCTTCCACAGCTGCCGATACACTGAATGATGCTGTTGTTGCACATTTGTGATGTCGGGTCATAACAGGTTCCGTTACACGATTGAGCTAAAGAGGCTTGGTATTCATCTCCATAGTAGGGGGAGTTGTTTGGAATGTTGCATATCGTCAGATTGTTCACGCACCGTTGCGTATCCAAAAGACACTGTCCGTTACATACTTGAAATGGGTACCAACAGAGTGAATTGTTGAGGCACACTTGATTCGAAGGATAGTAACACTGAAGCGATGGCGGATTGTAAACCATTCCCCAACTGGCGTATTGAACGGTACAAATACTTTGTTGAACTGAGCACAGTGTTCCATTGAAGCATCGTTGTGCAGATGCATTGTAACATTTCCCGAAGCAGTTATCAATACACATGATACTACCGCTCTGACATGTCTGTGACGGTGGATCGTAGCAGGTTCCGTTACACGATTGAGCTAAAGATGCACCGTACCCGTACGTATAGTACATGGAATTATTCGCAACGGTACATGTAGTGGCATTGTTGACGCACAGTTGGGTATCCAAAAGACACTGTCCGTTACATACTCGAGATGGGTACCAACAAAGTGAATTGTTGAGGCAAATTTGGTTCGAAGGGTCGTAACACTGAAGCGATGGCGGATTATACACCATTCCGGAGCTGCTGTATTTTACGCTACAAATACTTTGTTGAACTGAGCATATTGTTCCATTGAAGCATTGTTGTGCAGATGGATTATAACAGTTGCTTCCACAGCTGCCGATACACTGAATGATGCTGTTGTTGCACATTTGTGATGTCGGGTCATAACAGGTTCCGTTACACGATTGAGCTAAAGAGGCTTGGTATCCATATCCATAGTAGGGGGAGTTGTTTGGAATGTTACATATCGTCACATTGTTGACACAGGCTTGATATGGAGGACTGTAGCATTGATTTCCGCAAACTCGAATGCATTGGATTATTTGATTGGTGTCTGTACAGATTTGTGTTGTTGGAGTATAGCAAATAGTGTTGCCGCATAGAATTAGAGAGTCCGGGCAAGGACTAGATAAGGATGTGGGAGTTAGTGTCGTTTGCGCACTTGTGGCTGTAAAAAACATAAGAAGCGTCGAAAGATGTGCAATACACTTGTGACTTTTGGTCGGGTGCATTATAATCGTTTTTTTTGCGAATCTGGTCAGCGTCGTATATGTGATCTAAATACATGGAAGAATATTTGCCATTGTTTGACAGTTGAGTAGGGTTTCTATCGATGAGAAAAAAGAAATCTAGTCTAATGTAATGAGGAAGTGAAGTAAGCTTCGCGCGCATAAATATTCTCACAGTGAAAGGTTGATCGATGGGATTATTATCTGTTTGGCTTTTGTATTACCCTTCGTGTGTCTTTGTCTAGACCACTTACAGGTATTGCAGAACCTCAAAAGAGTAAAAGCTGCTTTTTTTAAATATGATATAGGATATATATGCCGCTTGTATGATGTTTGATGTGAAATATGAATGACTGGTCTGTGCATAATTATTTACTTTTAGATCGCACGTGGCTCCTCTTAATTTTATACACGCTACATGAAATTTACAGTCTGCTTTATTAACTTTTCTTCATTGTAAACAAAGTTAAGAATCGCGCTGAAGGTGAAAACGTGACATGTCTGATATAATCAATCAAAATAAACATTATACATGGGCGTGTACACTGATTTTCTAATAGCAAATGGCTTGACGAGACACTACGAAGAAAATAAATAACAATGAATATAGTTACTCAACTTGACGTGGAAAAAGAATTTATTTGAAACCAAACGCTTGGTTTTCATATTGACTCGTATTTTAGATGACCTATTGTCACATGTATTCGACTGAAGTTGGTGACAAAGATATGAAAGCAATTACATAAAACTAATAAAATGTGTTCCGAAATTACAGAATAAGAGAACATGTCCCTAAAAAGGGTAAGTAAAGAATTGAAAGCTCTTACGCGATTTTTATCCTCACGACTGTTTGTAAAAGTTATACTTCAATCCCCCTTAATGATCCTGATCAGTCTTAAATCACCGACTATCCTTTACTAGCATTCAGCTCGAATTCATTTCAAACTGTTGATTTCTAGTGTTCTAAGTTAGGAATGTATTTTCTAATATGATCATACTGATATAAAACTGTTTGAAGATACATTTTTCGATTTGAACGACAAGAAAAGACGGAAGTGGATGTGCGTTATTTATTAAAGAACCGTTTCAGAAAGTTTTGCAATATTCGTATAAGCTCATTTCTATACGAATCTTTTGGTAAAACGAATATAAATAATGTCAACGCCATTGGTAATGATGAAATGATGTACGATGTCAGAAATAGATGTTTTTGCCATTGAATTTCAACACAAGCAAAAGCAAACAGAAAAGCGAGACGTGGCGCTTCGAGTAGAATTAAAATAAATGGACTAAGAAGAAATCCTTTATATAACGGGATTTGCTCTCGTAAAATTTCAAACGGACCCAGTTTTGCTCTCATATCACTTAATACCAATTTACGACGCACGAGAATTATTATTAAAACAAATATTGAAATGAAATAAATTGATAGTAATTTCATATAAACTCATCCATTGTTGTTGAGAATGATTAGCAACACACGCGAATACGTCATTTCCATGCTGGGAGTCGATGACTAAACGGTGATGAAACGGCTTATGCAACGCACTTACAACATTTATCACTACAACAATTAGAATAACAATCTTCGCATAATAAACACTTTTCCTTCTGTTGAATTTTACACCATGCGCAGCTATGATTGTTCTTTCCACTGTAACGCAAGTGCTTAACCAATCGTTAATCGTTGGTAAAATCGATAAGAAAAATTCCAATAAAATACAGGATAGTGACAAGAATGTTTTGTTCGTTGTACCAAACGAATTCAATCTTATTCCAAAAATAACGATTCCCAACTGACTCACAATTGAAGTAATCAACAAATGCCATCCACATCCTAATTTACGTGTCGTTCTTTGCGCGAATGTAAGAATACAAAGTCCATTAGTAAGGAAGCCGACAACAACAAGAATTACAACAATGGCCACCATCCAATGAATAAGTGGTAATTGTTCCGAGAGTGATCTGCCAATAAGAATATGTTGATCGAGTAGAGCGTCTAAAGGAATGGTGTATTTAGTCATTGTGAACTGACATCGATCTCCGAAGTAACAACGCGGACAAACACAAGCAAATTCGAAATTGATCGTTGTTTGCATCGGTTGATAACATCGACCATCATTCAAACAAGTTACCTCGTCAGTTGGACAAGAACTTTTTGAATGATCAAATCGAACACAATCAAGAAAAGCATTATTATTACAAAGACAAACGTGAAATTCATCGTAGAAACATCGAACATCAAGAATATCACAAGGACGATTATAGTATTTGATACGTTTGATATACGATAACGACATAATCGATGAATCTAATAATTCATCTACTTGATAACAACGATTGGATGGTAAAATACTGGTTCTAACATTTGCTGCGAATTTTCGCATCACAGTAACGAGGTGATAAGATTTCCGAGTGTTTGTATCGAAATAAATTTCAACGAATACAAATGTTGGTAGAGTATCTGTTTCGGAAAAACTAATTATATTCGAATCAAGTAAAACATTTTTGTAAATATAACGATTGAACGTTGAAGCAGCTGCTAATCGATTGCTCAGAGACGCCATATGAACAATAACAACAGGAATATGAGTTTTTGTACGATCTTCGCGCCACATATTGTTCATTGTAATATTGACATAAGCAGAGGACTCTTGACAATATTGACCGTGAAAATTTGGAAGGCATATACAAACTACATTATTAGTTCGAAGATCGACTGAAATACAGGTACCGTTATTTTGACAATAGGATGATCTGCGACAAATATCAACATGTGCATAACAGTATCGTCCTAAATGATTCAATGGGCAAATACAATGAGAATGAAATGCGAATGATAATGGTGAACAAGATATTTGTTGCTTGATTTGGCAAAATTCTCCTGACCAACCCGAATGGCATAAACAATAATATTCCTCAACACGATTGGAGTAAACACGGCATTGCCCATTTTCAGTACAATTTTTTTCACATTGAACTTTGGAAATGATTCGATCGGTAAGAATTATTCTCGTAGCAAGTCGATTAACAGGTAGAAATGGAAAAGCAATCTTATAATAAAACGATGAATGATACTCAACATCTGTTTTCGATATCTGAAACACATCAATGACAATCGAATACATTTCATACAATCGTGGTGCTCGAAGATAAACAACTTGTTTATAAATGGGTACAGTATCGAATATTGTTGCGTAATAAAGTTCAGTAGAGTCAAAAAACATATTCGATAATGTTTGAAGACGAATTAATAATTTGTAAACAATTTCTGATGATGTTTGTCGAGTATTTAATCGAATATTTAACGCAATAGAAATTCGTTCGGATTGATATTCACATGTTCGACCATAATATGCGGGTGAACATAAACATTGTTCACCATCAATGGGCGAATTAACAACAATTCCTCGATGACAACGATATTTATTCAATGTAGACGGATTCACATCGCGACAACTACGAGTTTTTCTTTCAACATCTTTTATTGGTCGCGGAGATTTCACCGATGGATATTGACGATGATTATCAATAGAAAACAATCTTTAATGTGGTAGTGTACCGATTAAACTGCAAGATTCTATGTTGGATCGGAAGTGAACATCGCACGTTACTCGACTATCACATTGATTCTGTTTTGGTTCACAGTAGCTTTGTTTTATATCACAAGGATAAGTTCCATACGGGCATTTTGTATTGTTTTTTTTATCTAAACAAATGGTTTCATTGTCATGAAATGGACAATGAAAGACTCCATCGCATAAATCTTGAAATTCAATACATTTCGAATCATTAAAACAACGAAAGACTTTATGGTCATCGTTTGGATAATTTCGTTGACAATAATTATTTTCATTGACACCCACATAACATTTGGTTTTGCTATTTTTTGCCCATAACATCGGTATACATGACTCATAAGTTGATGAATTAAGAAGTTGATTGCATTTTTGATAGACCGGATTACAATTACGTTTCCATTCATCGCAATTATCTTCATCTTCGATAAGTTCGGGATGAACTCGGCCATTACAGATTTCCTGGAAGAGAAAATATTTATTGGAAATCTTCAAACTACGTAGATATTGACATCCAATATTGGTTCGATGTCGACATATAAATGGATACATTCGATCTGATCCGTCTTCACAACGTCCTTCCGTTGCTGGTAGTGCTGGTGGATGAAGATAATACATATCAGATTTTCGAACTCAATCACTTGATAAATTCTGACGGCAAAGATTTCCTTCGTATGTTTCATCAGTCAATGAATTCGGACAATCGTAGAAATGGTCTGCGACACGGTGAAAAGATATCAATCGGCATGAATCTGGACATGAGTAGAGTTTTGATGAATTCCATCCGATCATCGGTGATGGAAGTGCACATGCAGAAAAAACGAGACGCATATACGAAATAAATTGAGTAAAATCACGTCGTACATGAGAAAGAGATGTAACGAAACTAACCGCGTTTTCTTTTGTAAAACAAGTTGTTGTCTCACGACAAGTTAAACCAGAGTAATTGAAGTTTGAAGGATAGAGATTACATTTATCATTGTCATAACATGTTAACATAGGTGTTTTATCACGAGTAAACGTATAAATAAATCGAACGTCAGGATAGAAAAGGGGGAAATTTGACAAAAGAATGTTTTTACATTTTGTCTTGCATGCAGTATTAATCGACATAAATCTACAATCTATGAATGCTTCATATGAAGCGTTATAAGCTCCATTTATATTACAAAGAAGACAAGTTCGACAAAAATTCTTTGTTACATTGATTTGAGTTGTTAAAAACCATTTATTTCTTCCATTGGAACAAACATCTGCCTCTTTCTCTGATTCAGTCATTGCATTCGATACACATTCTCCATCACCACATGGATATTTATCCGCCCATGCGCATTGAAACTCTTCGCAATCGTTCGAAGGATTTTCAAAACACCTACCAAAGTGTATTCTTTTTTCGTCGCTTCGATCAAGACAATCGATCGTGTAATCGAAAGCAAAATCCTTATCAATACACATACCCGATGTACATCGATATTCATACTTCGGATCACATTCATTTGATTCTAATAGATGACAATAAAGTTCGTCTTCACCATTCTCACAAGCAATTAAACCATTACAGATATGTCGTCAATATGGACCAAACCATCGCAGATCAGAACAAATACAAAAAGTTCGATCAACATCAGAATGTTGATTAAATTTACCGTATAAATCAATGATATCGATTGGTACTTGCCAATAATATAATTCATCTGTTGAAATATTCTGACTTTGTAATTTTGTAAATGACGTTAAATTGCAATGATTGTGACATTTTAAATTAGTATTCATAGTTTCTGATTGAAAACAATAGGGAACTATCGAATACGAATCTTCTTGTTGTTGTTAAAAATAACTGTATAAACAGGATCAAATTTGATGATCACGATATAGATGGAATTGTTGACTAGTTGAAGAGTAAATCAATGCGAAGAATGCAAGACAATTGATCAGCATTCTAATGTTCGATTGCAATACCTGTTCTCTCTATTGTATTGTTATTTTATAGCATAATGAAATGCTTTGGATCGGTCAAGATAAATATATCACATAACACAATTTTATTAGCTTTGACTGTCAATCAAGATTAGCATACTGGCATGCATTTTTGATTAGTCTGAAATCTATTCTACCTGTATATAATCATAGTATTTATATAATTTCAAATCGTTTCCTTTCATTTTTTAAAACATCCATAACACTCAAATACTTCTAGAGGGTGAGGGTGTGGGTGAGAGTGTGTGCATATCACACCCTCACCCACACCCTCAAGATGGTTGAAGAAGAGTAAAATTATGGCAATGAGCAGATTGATACACTCCCATCCTCACTCACGTCTAACCCTGATGTTCGTATTTATTTATTTGCACAAATAAGTTTATGTTTATATAATTTCCAATCCATGGTTTGACATTCTTTTGAACAATAACGAGCTTTCCCACACTGAGCACAAGTTTTCGACGCATTTGCTTCGCAGCAATATCGACACATATTTAATATCCATTCCGATTTACTTTGCATTACAATCGAAGAAATATCATCAACCCAGGTCGNGAGACGCCATATGAACAATAACAACAGGAATATGAGTTTTTGTACGATCTTCGCGCCACATATTGTTCATTGTAATATTGACATAAGCAGAGGACTCTTGACAATATTGACCGTGAAAATTCGGAAGGCACATACAAACTACATTATTAGTTCGAAGATCGACTGAAATACCGGTACCGTTATTTTGGCAATAGGATGATCTGCGACAGATATCAACATGTGCATAACAGTATCGTCCTAAATGATTCAATGGGCAAATACAATGAGAATGAAATACGAATGATCATGGTGAACAAGATGTATTTGTTGCTTGATTTGGCAAAATTCTCCCGACCAACCCGAACGGCATTGTCCATTTTCCAGTACAATTTTTTTCACATTGAACTTTGGAAATGATTCGATCGGTAAGAATTATTCTCGTAGCAAGTCGATTAACAGGTAGAAATGGAAAAGCAATCTTATAATAAAACGATGAATGATATTCACATGTTCGACCATAATATGCGGGTGAACATAAACATTGTTCACCATCAATGGACGAATTAACAACAATTCCTCGATGACAACGATATTTATCCAATGTAGACGGATTCACATCGCGACAACCACGAATTTTTCTTTCAACATCTTTTATTGGTCGCGGAGATTTCACTGGTGGATATTGACGATGATTATCAATAGAAAGCATTCTGTAATGTGCTAGTGTACCGATTAAACTGCAAGATTCTATGTTGGATCGAATGTGAATATCGCACGTTACTCGACTATCACATTGATTCTGTTTTGGTCCACAGTAGCTTTGTTTTATATCACAGGGATAAGTTCCATACGGGCATTTTATATTGTTTTTTTTATGTAAACAAATGGTTTCATCGTCATGAAACGGACAATGAAAGACTCCATCATATAAATCTTGTAATTCAATACATTTCGAATCATTAAAACAACGAAAGACTTTATGGTCATCGTTTGGATAATTTCGTTGACAATAATTATTTTCATTGACACCCACATAACATTTGGTTTTGCTATTTTTTGCCCATAACATCGGTATACATGACTCATAAGTTGATGAATTAAGAAGTTGATTGCATTTTTGATAGACCGGATTACAATTACGTTTCCATTCATCGCAATTATCTTCATCTTCGATAAGTTCGGGATGAACTCGGCCATTACAGATTTCCTGGAAGAGAAAATATTTATTGGAAATCTTCAAACTACGTAGATATTGACATCCAATATTGGTTCGATGTCGACATATAAATGGATACATTCCATCTGATCCGTCTTCACAACGTCCTTCCGTTGCTGGTAGTGCTGGTGGATGAAGATAATACATATCAGATTTTCGAACACAATCACTTGATAAATTCTGTCGGCAAAGATTTCCTTCGTACGTTTCATCAGTCAATGAATTCGGACAATCGTAGAAATGGTCTGCAACACGGTGAAAGGATATCGATCGGTATGAATCTGGACATGAGTAGAGTTTTGATAAATTCCATCCGATCATCGGTGATGGAAGTGCACATGCAGAAAAAACGAGATGCATATACGAAATAAATTGAGTAAAATCACGTCGTACATGAGAAAGAGATGTAACGAAACTAACCGCGTTTTCTTTTGTAAAACAAGTTGTTGTCTCACGACAAGTTAAACCAGAGTAATTGAAGTTTGAAGGATAGAGATTACATTTATCATTGTCATAACATGTTAACATAGGTATTTTATCACGAGTAAATGTATAAATAAATCGAACGTCAGGATAGAAAAGGGGAAATCAGACAAAAGAATGTTTTTACATTTTGTCTTGCATGCAGTATTAATCGACATAAATCTACAATCTTTGAACGCTTCATATGAACCATTATAAGCTCCATTTATATTACAAAGAAGACAAGTTCGGCAAAAATTCTTTGTTACATTGATTAGAGTCGTTAAAAGCCATTTATTTCTTCCATTGGAACAAACATATGCCTGTTTCTCTGATTCAGTCATTGCATTCGATACACATTCTCCATCACCACATGGATATTTATCCACTCATCTGCATTGAAACTCTTCGCAATCGATCGAAGGATTTTCAAAACACCTACCATAGTGTATTCTTTCTTCCTCACTTTGGATCACATTCATTTGGTTCTAATATATGACAATAAAGTTCGTCTTCACCATTCTCACAATCAATTAAACCATTACAGATATGTCGCCAATCTAATCCAAGACCAAACGGTTGACAATCAATACCTTGATAGGTTGTAAAAGTAAATCTTTGTGTTATAAGATACGTTTCTCGACATAAAAATTGTTCGTCAATAATATCATTGAAGTTTGTTTCGAAAGATTGAAACGTGTATTCACAATATGGACCAAACCATCGAAGATCAGAACAAATACAAAAAGTTCGATCAACATCAGAATGTTGATTAAATTTACCGTATAAATCAATGATATCGATTGGTACTTGCCAATAATATAATTCATGTGTTGAGATATTCTGACTTTGTAATTCTGTAAATGACGTTAAATTGCCATGATTGTGACATTTTAAATTAGTATTCATAGTTTCTGATTGAAAACAATAAGGAACTATCGAATACGAATCTTCTTGTTGCGAGAAATAACTGTATAAACAAGATCGATTTTGATGATCACGATATAGATGGAATTGTTGACTAGTTGAAGAGTAAATCAATGCGAAGAATGAAAGACAATTGATCAGCATTCCAATATTCGATTGCAATACCTGTTCTCTCTATTGTATTGTTATTTTATAGCATAATGAAATGCTTTGGATCGGTCAAGATAAACATTTCACATAACACTATTTTATTAACTTTGACTGTCAAGCAAGATTAGCAAACTGACATGCGATGTAAACCTGTCATGCATTTTTGATTAATCTGAAAGCTATTTTACCTGGATAATCATAGTATTTATATAATTTCAAATCGTTTCCTTTCACTTTGTAAAACATCCGTAACATTCAAATACTTCTGAGAGAATTTTGTTCTTCTATTTTCATTTTTACAGAGAAAAGATTTTCAGGAGAGCGCGCGATGAGGGTGAGAGTGGGTGTGATATGCACACACTCTCACCCACACCCTCAAGATGGTTGAAGAAGAGTAAACTTATGACAATGAGCAGATTGATACACTCCCATCCTCACCCACGTCTAACCCTGATGTTCGTATTTATTTATTTGCACAAATAAGTTTATGTTTATATAATTTCCAATCCATGGTTTGACATTCTTTTGAACAATAACGAGCTTTCCCACACTGAGCACAAGTTTTCGACGCATTTGCNATTTGTAAACAATTTCTGATGATGTTTGTCGAGTATTTAATCGAATATTTAACGCAATAGAAATTCGTTCGGATTGATATTCACATGTTCGACCATAATATGCGGGTGAACATAAACATTGTTCACCATCAATGGACGAATTAACAACAATTCCTCGATGACAACGATATTTATCCAATGTAGACGGATTCACATCGCGACAACTACGAGTTTTTCTTTCAACATCTTTTATTGGTCGCGGAGATTTCACTGGTGGATATTGACGATGATTATCAATAGAAAACATTCTGTAATGTGGTAGTGTACCGATTAAACTGCAAGATTCTATATTGGATTGGAGGTCAACATCGCACGTTACTCGACTATCACATTGATTCTGTTTTGGTCCACAGTAGCTTTGTTTTATATCACAAGGATAAGTTCCATACGGGCATTTTGTATTGTTTTTTGTATCTAAACAAATGGTTTCATCGTCATGAAACGGACAATGAAAGATCCCATCACATAAATCTTGTAATTCAATACATTTCGAATCATTAAAACAACGAAAGACTTTATGATTATCGTTTGGATAATTTCGTTGACAATAATTATTTTCATTGACACCCACATAACATTTGGTTTTGCTATTTTTTGCCCATAACATTGGTATACATGACTCATAAGTTGATGAATTAAGAATTTGATTACATTTTTGATAGAACGGATTACAATTACGTTTCCATTCATCGCAATTATCTTCATCTTCAATAAGTTCGGGATGAACTCGACCATTACAGATTTCCTGAAAGAGAAAATATTTATTGGAAATATTCAAACTACGTAGATATTGACATCCAATATTGGTTCGATGTCGACATATAAATGGATACATTCGATCTGATCCGTCTTTACAATGTCCTTTCATTTCTGGTAGTGCTGATGAATGAAACAAATACATATCAGATTTTCGAACACAATCACTTGAAGTTAAACATTGAAAATAACTTGATAAATTCTGTCGGCAAAGATCTCCTTTGTATATTTCATCAGCCAATGAATTCGGACAATCATAGATATGGTCTTTGACACGGTGAAAAGATATCGATCGATGTGAATCTGGACATGAGAAGAGTTTTGATGAATTCCATCCGATTACCGGTGATGGAAGTGCACATGCAGAAAAAACGAGATGCATATACGAAATAAATTGAGTAAAATCACGTCGTACATGAGAAAGAGATGTAACGAAACTAACCGCGTTTTCTTTTGTAAAAAAAGTTGTTGTCTCACGACAAGTTAAACCAGAGTAATTGAAGTTTGAAGGATAGAGATTACATTTATCATTGTCATAACATGTTAACATAGGTATTTTATCACGAGTAAATGTATAAATAAATCNTGCTTCGCAGCAATATCGACACATATTTAATATCCATTCTGATTTACTTTGCATTACAATCGAAGAAATATCATCAATACGAATTGATGGTTTCATATCAACTGCTCCTATCCGTAAATACGGATTGATAATGTGTATTTTGTTCCCAATAGTATACAATTTACTGATTAATTCCTCGCCTTCTTCTTCCAAAATTCCATAAATAAGCATTCGTTGACAATCGAAATTCTTGTCTTCAATGACTAAGTGAATTGACGGATCCCATGATAATGTCTCTTCGATGATTGTTACTGAAAGTACATATCCAGTATAAACATGATCTTTTCTTGAATTCATTTCTCTTAGTGTAATTGGTTTCAAACCAATTAATAATTTGTCTGTTTGCTGTTTAACTCGAGGTTTGACAGTAGTCGATATGCTCCTATAACCTAAATTCCGTTTTTCTTCTAGCGTTGTGTTCTCCCATACACGATGATTTTTTATAAGTTCTACTCTATGAGGGTCAGTAAGATGTTGTTTGCGAGCATTTGTAGGAGTTGGCTTTACATTGTTGTTCGATTCGATCATATCTATAATTGGCTGTAAAAACGCAATATTTTCTGATTTATAAGGCAAAAACCATGGTAATTGCAATTTTTCTGCTTCTTTGCCTGCTCTATACTGTTCATAGATCCAGGAGATTCCAGCAACAGGCATGAAATCTTTCGAACACAGTGCCATTTCATAGTATGCTTCAGGAATTTTTCGATGATCTTTTGGAGCGGTTGCAATAAATTGTTGATAGGCCTTGATCGCTTCAGCCATGTCTTTGCCAATATGGCGCAATAGAACAGCTTTATGATATAAAAGTTCATAATTATCAGGCTCTATTTCAAGTCCATGATTTATATTATACAAACCAGCATCAGAGTTACGTTGAAACCCGTGCACTGTGCCACTCATGTAGTAGAAATGAACTGATTTGGGATATTTTTGTTTGCATATTTCAAGAAATTGTTGAATTAATCCATATGAATTTAAATTAAGTGTTGCGTAACATACTCGAACATCTTCATCAACTTGTGAAACAATGCAAGTCGATTGTTGTGTACATCGAGTTAGTACCCGTTCAATGATACTACTAACTCTTTCAAAGAAAATAGCCGGAATTTGAGCTACAATCGTGTCAATACGATAACATTCAGACAGTTCATGAACAAATGTGTTTTCTTGTTCTTCTGTCAATGTTTTAAAAGATGTAAGTAAATTTAACGCTAATATAAAATGCTCTATAGCAGTACGAAGTTTCTTAGCTGTTATTGAACCACGACGCGCATGTTCACAAAACAGTCCATACTCTTTTAAATAGAAACGTTCACATACAACTGATGGAGAATATTTACTTTGATATAATACATCATAGTTCATAGCTTTACTTAGCGCTTCTTGAAGATCTGATGGATAACTCTGACGGTTTTCCAATTTTGTCATGAATTCATCACGATTTCGTTGAGCAACAACATTGCCTGATTCGCATGCACGATCGTACCATAGTTCCGCCATTTGAAAATCATTTTTACGTAATCGAAGTTCGGCTAAAGTCATCATAGCACTTGGATCACCTCTTTGTGCTGCTAATTCATGTAATTCTTCAGCCTTTTCAAGATTCTTATCAACCGCAAGACCATCCAAATACATGCAACCTAAATTATTAGCAGCCATTGCACTACCATGATCAGTTGCACGTTGATACCAATAAACCGCCATTGAAAGATCCTTACGAACACTAATACCTTCGAAATATCTTACGCCTAAAGCGTGTTCAGCATCAGCGACGCCAATATTCGGCATTCCTTTTAGTTTGGGATGTTCTGCGGGCTGTGACGCTGCTTTTTCAAGCCATTCACGAGCTAAATTGTGATCTTTTTTCACACCTAAACCTTTATCGAATAATCGAGCTAAGTTATACATTCCTTCAGCATTGTCTGCATTTGCTGCTTTGGCAAAATATTTCGCGGCTTGCTCGTAATCTTGAATAANGTGTTCAGCATCAGCGACGCCAATATTCGGCATTCCTTTTAGTTTGGGATGTTCTGCGGGCTGTGACGCTGCTTTTTCAAGCCATTCACGAGCTAAATTGTGATCTTTTTTCACACCTAAACCTTTATCGAATAATCGAGCTAAGTTATACATTCCTTCAGCATTGTCTGCATTTGCTGCTTTGGCAAAATATTTCGCGGCTTGCTCGTAATCTTGAATAACATCAATGTCTCCAAGTGCAAACTGATGTCCTTTCGTTACATCAGCCACTGATGGATCAATTAGTGCGAGTGTACTTCTATTTTTTTTCTTATCATTTCTGCATCGAGACATTCATGCATTGGTTTACAATTCGCTCGCGGATCGAGATATTGATGTTGCCAATTTCGCTGAACTCTTATACGACTTTCATCCAATGCTGTTTGTATGTCTTGTTTTGTCGGATCAAGTGCAAATGCTCGTTCAAACGAATTAATCGCCTTTTCATAATCATTCAAAACAACATAGACTTGTCCAACACGATAATGTGCTTTCCACCATGTAAACCAAAGGTTTCTTGCTTGTTTAGCATCTTTCAGAGCACGATCTAATTCCTTTGGCATATCACCATCACCTGAGTATAATTGTTGTTTATAAGATGCTAATCGACTTGCAGCCATATTCAAAAAGAAAATCGCACGATCATGATCTGAAACACCTGATAAATCTGTTGCTTTAATAAAGAACTTGATTGCTTCGGAATAATTTTCCTTATCATAAGCTTCGATACCCAATGACTTTAAGCGTAATGCTTCTTTTGTATTCTCTTCATTTATTATTTGTTTGGGTAAATCAAATATACTATCTTCTTTTAATTTATCTAATTCAGTTTCAATATCATCGAATGATATTAAAATTGTTGATATATCAATCCATAATTGATGACATTCTTTGTTATCAATAGATTTCGATGAATGATGAACTAACTTATTTCTTGTGTCTCTTAAGAGAGGCTATTTGAGAGGTAGGACCAAACCGTCCGGAGATGGTTCTGGGATTTCGACGTTTGATAACACGTTTGAGAGATCATATTGTGTATATACAAAAAGCAAAATATCAGCATCGTATGTATTACTAATAGCGGAGATATCGGGGTGACAAGTTTAGCACCCTAAAATGATCTTTCAAATTTTGTGCTTTTTTCATGACTTTCTTGTTTGTTCAGTATCTTCGCTAAATATCAACCAAACATACAAGTAACTTACGTATATCATTCGATAGACTAGAATCTGCTCTACAAAAACCTCTAAAGGACCGTAGTTCAACAAGTGACTTATGAGATTGCGAAGATTGAAATACAAAAATGCATGACCAATTTTTATTTTTTGCTTTTTACATATTTGAATTATGAAATGTCTATTTCCATTTGTGATTACCTTCCATCATATGAATAATTTTTTGTTGGAATTTCCAAATAATGATTCAACTTCATAAGTCACCTTTTTCTTCATTCTGTTTCATTCAAACATGTCAAGTTTAATGATGACTTTAAAATTCATTTTTCTCTTGGAGATTTCCGACAACTTATATATATTCATACATTCGTAAATACTGTTACTTTATATCTACTTCTATCAAAACTCATCATAATGAGTGAACACTGCCCTGCTCCGCGACGTGCCAAATGTAGTGGATGTATTCGAAATGCTATTGGTAGATGTGATCATTGTCATTCACGATTTGAAGAAAATTGTTTCAGTGCTCATGTCCAAACATGTCCAGGTGCACGACACATGTCAAGTGGTAGACTTACTTTAAAACCTGAATGTCAATTTTGTAGTAATGACGCGACGGGAAAGTGTAGCGGATGTCGAGAAAGTGTTTGCAGTTCATGTTTTGAACATTCTCATCGAGTTCACCGACTTTACCGGACACAATCTGATTCATCGTCATGTAACCTCAGTTAGTTAATTAATTTATTTACAAGAAAACTGTAAACAGGAACAACCAGATTTTTTTTTGCAAAAGAGCATCCGATGTGATGATCAATAAAGGACATATTTCAAAGCTTTCATTCTAAAGAGTGACTGTCATCAGGTAGTATTCGAGTGTCTACAGAGAAACTCTTGGTGTGTGAAATTGGATTGTCGCAATCATTTGATAAAGGAATAGATATTTTTGTGTGATTTAGCTATACTTCGACCGATGTTGTTGATCATCGTAGGAGCTTTGTGACATGGGTCAGACTAATCTTAGAATTTGTAAATCCTGCGACTACTACTCTTTTTAAAACAATCCAAATTGGTTTATTATCAACTTTTTATTGTCTCTTTTTTCTTGATTCATCGCTGTTGAGCGATTCTAGTTATTTGTTGGAAATTTATAAATCACCTTGAGAAAATATATAGAGCACAAAAAAAATCAAATAGGACTGTTGTTTCAATACAAAATACCGCCTAGTTTAATTTCGCGACAAACCATATAATTTCACCCATTCCAATGCTTTACGATTGAATTCAGCTCTGTTCAGTTGATATTCGGCAGCAATCTCTTGAAAAATCAAACAAAATAAATAAGTTCTTTTACATAGCGAAGTACTACAAATTACCAGGATTCACGGCATGGTCAAGTTCAGGATTGTCAATTGCATACGCAATACGTTTGATAGTATCTAACAATGATGTTGTTGGTTTATGTTCTCCATTGTTATATAGTAATTGATCGCATATTCTGCCATCCGTGCCAACATTTGGATGATAGATTTTTTTCAGAAAACGAATTTCCGGTGGTTTGAATGGGTAGTTATCCAGTAACTTTATCTCGATTTCAAAAGCAGCTTCTTTAAAAATTTCTGCACTTGTCAATATTCTTCCTCGTGTAATGACCGGCTTTTCGGTCGGTTTGTCATCCAACGATGTATAATCAAAGTGAAATTCTCCTACTGATGGTTCAGTCCATTTTACTGATCCTCTTAGACGTTCGATCTCCAAAATTATGCGTCGATTTTGACCAGTTGCCATATCCTTCACTCTTTCTATTGAATTGCAATAAAGTCGAAAGAGAAAAAATACTTCTGATAACATATACTTTCGGTTTTATTGACACAGTGCAATGATGATTGGATTTCACCCTCATAAAAACAAATCGTACGTGTATTTCTTGCTTGTTGTCAATCAGACTCTTATCCTTAGATTGAAATTTCATAGTGTGTCGTCAGGTTTGCTTTCAGTGTGAAAAAACCGACGTCTGGTGGTGAAAACTGCCTTGGATTTTTCCGTTTATCAACAACAGCTGTAATTGGTTGATTTCATTTATTTCTTCTTATCATATACTGTAGCGATACCAGCCACGTGTTGATTCAGAGAAGCAATCAAACATTGATGGATTCTCAGGTACGTGCAGAATGGATGTGGTAATCCAACCCGAATCCACGGTCTGACTCTGAGCGAATAAAATGGAGTCATTATTCAGATGTAGAAAATCTAATTATCGAAGAAGAGTTTACGGCGAAACGTACTGATGCTATCTTAGATAATTATTGTATAGATTTCTCATAATGATGACAAGAAGCAAAGGCGAGTGCAACGTTGTACGGTCCAAAAACATTCAAAATCATCGTGTAAAGATCGCTGTAACTTGATGTTATCGCTCCTAAGCACCCTTTCAGTAGGATCATACGGCTGGATTTCACCATTCATAGTAGAAGTAAAAAAAGATCCCGAACTTGACGAAGAACAATTACCGTCCGTGGATGAAACGTTTGTTCCGATGATAGTTGAAAGAGCTGCTTTGGGCATTATTGATGAAGGAAAAAAGATTGGAAAACGATGCGAAGGGGAACGCATGGCCAGAGGAACAAGAACCTCTCTGGCGGAGTAAAATTCGCTCGATTGGTCCATTCTGTTCATTTCTGTGGGACAATCCATTCAATCTCAATGTACAAAGAATGCGTTCAACATCTTGATGAATATCAAACGTTTCAAACATTTACATCGACTAGTCGGAGTCGTACTGTAGCTGAGTTGATCGCTACCAACGATCTATTCATTATGAGGGTGAATTGTGCTTTTACAGCAGATATTCAACCATACTCGATAATGCCTCATGAAGAGGAAGAACTTATCAATCTTGGTGTAACTTTCACTGTTAAAAGAGTAAAGTTGGACACGACTATAAACAAACATTTGATCTATCTAGAACAGAAGCAACGCTTCAATAGTAAGTAGGATCTTTTCAGGACGGTACGAATTCAAATATGATCATTTTCCATTTCCGATTAGAGTCGGCCATACATGAAATATCAAACGTTCAAGAGGAGATTTCAGCCGATAATTCCTCTACATTTCGTGATTTTGACTACAAGGGCATACTGGATTTTTTTGTTAATGACCCTAATCGTATTGGTCGACTTGATCGTCATGGCTTTGATCAATCTGATCCTTTGCTAACTTTTTTTCTATTATCACGCGATGGTGGTAATCATAAGGACTCTAGTGTATTTCGTACTTTGTGTACCCGGTTTCGAGTATTATTCAAGAATAATGATGATTGGGCTATCGAGGAATAAGAGATTGAACGAGAAGTATTATATAACGGAATCCTACGCAAAACGAAATACTACTATGTGATGCTTTGCATTATCTGTTATCTATATAAACTCCTGAAGGCAAAATAGTAAAATAACAGAGTCATCGTTAAGGATGAGAGAGCCAAACGATCAAATTGGCTAAACTTTTGAAGCATTCTAGCCTATACTTCAAGTTGACTGTTTTCATCTTCATTATCCCAGGAATTTGGAGAATGGTTATCGAATATTTTCTGTGTTATTAATCGAATCTTCATTCACTTGTCGCTCTGTGACCAGAAATTCCTTTGCTGTTGAAAGATTAAGAGCGAAAATAACTTATATATAACAAGACATGTCTCATCATGTTAGTTGCCCTTTCCTATAAAGATATAGTGAGAACAGCTGGCTCTTTAATACTGAACAGCCTCCAAATATTTCTAATTAATGGCGAAAGTTCTACGGATAAAGCTTTAACAGCATCTCGTACTTAACCACTAGTGTTCAGTTATTTGAAATTTTGGAAAGCAGTTGTGACGAATTCATACTTTAATACGATAAAGCTTTTTTGCAAAATGGAAAAAATACCATGAAAATCTTTAAAAAGGCAAAAAGTGGAAGTAGGAAACCGTATGTTAGTTTTCAATGTCGATTTCAAAGGAAAATATTATAAGTTTTAATGTGCGCACATAATCAGTTGAATTGATATCGTTTAGATTGAGGCATATACTTGATGCTTTCTTTTCTAACTCTTTCAAAAACAAACTGTTTACAGCAGACATTTTATTAAGTTTCGTACGAAGTCTGATGTGGATAAATCAACCAATGTTTAGAAAAAGTTGTAGATTGAGATATAAAACACTTGATAAGACGGAATGGAAAGAGATGAGCAGAATGTGCTGACGAAAGAGACTGTAGATGAAACAAAGAATCAGTAGTGTTGAAATTCCATGAATTACGAATATGTGAGTAATCTTGACTCTCAAATCTATTTAATAAAGGGTAATATCCATACTCACATTCTCAATAGCAACGAATCTATGATGAATAAAAACAAAGCAGCATTACGAAACGTGGGTGAAATCCTAATATCTTCACAAGTTGTGAATCACTAGCAGTTATTAAGACAAGCTATTTATGAAAACACGTATATTCTCGTTCCACTCTCTCTGTTTCGTTCTGTCACGTTTTGGTATGTTCTGTTCTGATGTTCTGATTAAGTATTTAAGTGAGTGAATCAAGACAGAAAGGGGAAGATAGAACGAGAACAGCGACTAATTTAGTCTTTGTTTCAGATAATAGAGATGGTTTCGACAAGCGCAAAAACAATTGTAGAATACAACTGTTGTTCTATGCAAACGATAAATGAGGATTTTTCTAGCTGGAACATTGAACAACACCCGAATTATTATACTTTAGTCGATCATAACGATATATTTAGAAGAAAGAATACATTGTATTCGTTTATAAATAACAATAGTTAATGTAAATTATTACGTCGTAACAATTACCTTTTGAAAGTGACCAGCGCAATAGTGTATGTTGGTGAAAAATATATTATTCCAGGTTTAAATAAGTACCGTAGAACTTATATAAACAGAAACCTGGGAAATGGAATGCCAAAATTTCGTCAATGGCAAGATGTGACGAAGTATATCGGCGATCGTTACAGCAACGCAGTTTATGCTCGCGAACATACATTAAAACAAGACGTTTACAAGCAAATACTTAGGCTAGCTAGACAGGAAGGAATATCTGCTAGATGTTGGAAGACTTTAGAATCATTATACAAAAACAGAAATTCAGCTTGTCATGTAAAGACCAGTGAAGACGATGCACGGAGTATCAAGGAATATGCAGATAATTTTAGTGGTGAAAATGAGAAAAAAAGTGTCAAGCTTTTATCCGAGTTGGTACTCACAACACTTGCAAACAGAAGAAGAGAAATAGACTAGGATTACAAATGAAACATCGACATAAACTCATCATTTTTATGTTGAATATCGTAGATTAGATTTTCTGTCCATAATCGCCTATCCAGTCGTGGTTCGAACATCATATTCATTTAGTCTTATTTTTTCTCTTTCAGATTTGTCAATACTGAAGTTTAATAATGGTTAATAACTGCAAATTACTTGATCAATTTGATCCGAATCCTGTTCAATACGTTGGAAAATATTCTAGACGATGCTCGGAAATATCATTACCTTCCTCGCAAAGTGAAGACGAAGATCGAGATTTACAATCACGTTCTCGGAAGATTTCCTGTCGTTCACCTTACTTTCTGCGTAAAACTCCACGTTACCAACCTAACCCCAAGAGAATGAAACAAAATTCAGAAAAGATGATAAATCAACCTGATGATTGTTCAAGTTCAATAGTGAGAGATGATATTATAAGGAAAATGTCCATTTGTTTATCTTTTTATGGGAATTTTGTTCTGATTCCTGCAGTCGAAAAGACACTGAAGAAAATCAATGGTCAAAGATTTACTTATTGGTACGAAATGATGCAATTTATTGATTNTCGCTCCTAAGCACCCCTTCAGCAGGATCATACGGCTGGGTTTCACCATTCATAGTAGAAGTAAAAAAAAGATCCCGAACTTGACGAAGAACAATTACCGTTCGTGGATGAAACGGTTGTTCCGATGATAGTTGAAAGAGCTGCTCTGGGTATTATTGATGAAGGAAAAAAGATTGGAAACGCTCCTTTATATACAATGGATAGTTTTTTATTCAGAAAAATCAACGAATTTATGATATTAATCGGAGACAAGAAAATCTCTGGTGAAGTCAAATTCGCTCGATTGGTCCATTCTGTTCACTTCTGTGGGGCAATCCATTCAACCTCAAACTACGAATGGACAAGAGACTCTTGTACCGAGCGATTAATCTGTCGGATGAGCAAATCGCAATGTACAAAGAATGCGTTCAAAATCCTGATGAATATCAAACGTTTCAAACATCTACATCGACTAGTCGGAGTCGTACTGTAGCTGAGTTGATCGATACCAACGATCTATTCATTATGAGGGTGAATTGTGCTTTTACAGCAGATATTCAACCATATTCGATAATGCCTCATGAAGAAGAAAAACTGATTAATCCTGGTGTGTCGTTCACTGTTAAAAACATAAACATGAACACGAATACGAATACAAACAAAAATGTAATCTATCTACAACCGAAGCAACACTTCAATAGTAAGTAGGATCTTTCCAGGATGATATGAATTCAAATGTGATCGCTTTCCATTTCTGAATAGAGGCGGCCATACATGAAATATCAAACGTTCAAGCGGAGATCTCAGCCGACAATTCCTCTACATTTCGTGATTTCCCCTACAAGGGTATATTGGGCATTCTTGTTAATGATCCTAATCGTGTTCGTCGACTTGATCGTAATGGCTTTGATCAATCTGATCCTTTGCTAACTTTTTTTTCATTATCACGCGACGGTGGTAATCATAAGGACTCTAGTGTATTTCGTACTTTGTGTACCCGGTTTCGAGTATTATTCAAGAATAATGATGATTTGGCTATCGAGGAATAAGAGATTGAACGAGGAGTATTATATAACGGAATCCTACGCAGAACGAGATATCACTGTATGATGCTTTGCATCATCTGTTATCTGTATAAACTCCTGAAGGCAAAATAATAAAATAACAGAGTCATCGTTAAGGATGAGAGAGTCAAACGATCAAATTGGCTAAACTTTTGAACCATTCTAGCCTATACTTCAAGTCGACTGTTTTCATCTTCATTATCCCAGGAATTTGGAGAATGGTTATCGAATATTTTCTGTGTTATAATTCGAATCTTCATTCACTTGTCGCTCTGTGACCAGAAATTCCTTTGCTGTTGAAAGATTAAGAGCGAAAATAACTTATATATAACAAGACATGTCTCATCATGTTAGTTGTCTTCTCATATAAAGATATAGTGAGAACAGCTGACTCTTTAATATTGTATAGCCTCCAAATATTTCTAATTAATGGCGAAAGTTCTACGGATAAAGCTTTCATAGCATCTCGTACTTAACCACTAGCGTTCAGTTATTTGAAATTTTGGAAAACTACTTCGTTGCTTTTCCGTTTTTCTTGGCAATATTACTACTGCGCAGTTATGAGAAATTCATATTTCAATACGCTAAATCTTTTTTTCAGAATGGGAAAAAATGCCAAAAAAACTTTAGAAAACACATAAAGCGGAAGTAAGAAGCCAAATAGTGTGATTTCGAATGGCGATGTCGAAGGAAAAGAAAATAGCAGATATTTTTAATGAGCGCTTACAATCGATTGTGTTGACATAGTTTACAATATAGAATAAACGTGTTGTTTACTTTCCTCGTTCTGTTATAAGAAAAAACTGATGATTATAACATAGATTTCCTTATGCCATTTTATCGTGAAGAAGGGTGCCATAGATACTCACTAAAGTGCCTTCCGATTGCATCGTATGATAGGTAAGATATGTTGAATTTTGTTCAAGGTTATTTGAGATATAATGTGCTGTTTGAGAAAAATGTTTTTGACAAGAAGTCCTCCTGTCAGCAAAATGTCGCGATTGAAATAGTAACGTTTGAAAGGAAACTATTGATGTCTAGTGAAATGAACATTGATAACGTTCGAGTAGTTTGATAAGACGATGCCGAAAGAGACTGTATATGAAGTGAAGAATCACTAGTGTTGAAACTCCGTGAATTACGAATGCGTAAGTAATCGTGGCTCTCAAGTCTATTTAATAAATAGTAACAGTGAACGTGAAGAGCAGAGCAATTTCGTATTCATATTCTTTAGAATAGCGAAATTGTGCTGAATGAATACAAAGTAACATTTCGAAAAGCGACTAAACATCGTAGTATCTTAGAAATTCGTGATTCATTAGCAGCTATTAGGACAAGTTTTTTTTTTAAAACAGCTATGCTCTCATTTCTCTCTCTTTGTTTCATTCTCTCACGTTTTGGTATGTTCTGTTCTGATGTTCTGAGTGAATGAAAACGAAAAAGGTGAGATAGAACAATTAAGTGCGACTGATTTATTCTTGGTTCCAGATAACAGGTATGGCTTCTGCAAACACAAAAAAAATTATTGAATACACATATTGTGCTGAGCAACGTAAAGCTAAAGATTTTTCGACACAATATTGGATAAATAACGAACGACAACAGTGTAATTATTATACTTTAATCACTAATAATGAAACATTCAAAAACCAAAGCACACGTATAATATATTCATTTGTAGAGAACGGTGCTGAATGTAACTTATTACGTCGCAACGCTTATCTTTTGAAAGTAGCAAATGCAATAACTTTTTTTGGTAAAGAATATATTATTCTCGATTTAAATGAGTTTTGCAGAACTTCTATAAATGAAAATTCCGCAGATGGAAGACCAGGATATTCTGTGCCAGAATTTCGTCAATGGCACGATGTGACGAAATATATTGGTGATCGTGACAGTCCAAGAATTCCTGCTTGGGAACGCGAGAAGAAACAAAAGGTTTATGACCAAATAACTAGAATAGCTAACAACAACGGAATATGTGATGAATATTGGGAAGCTCTCAAATCATTGTATGATGAGAGAAATTTAGCTTGCCATGCACCGGCGAGTGAAGCCGACGCAGAAAGTATTAAAATATATGCAAATTATGTTAATAATGAACATGAAAAACAAGGTGTCAATTGTTTATCCGATTTGGTTCTCACTAAACTTGGAAGCAATAAAAGAGGAAGAAAATAATTAATTAAAAATGAAATATCGAAACAAACTCATCTTTTTTATGTTGAATATTGTAAATTCGGTTTTCTGCCCATAATTGTGTATCCAGTCGTGATTCGAATATTATATTCATTTAGTTTCATATTTTATCTTTCAGATTTGCCAATACTGAAGTTTAATAATGGTTAGTAACTGCAAATTACTTGATCAATTTGATCCGAATCCTGTTCAATACGTTAGAAAATATTCTAGACGATACTCGGAAACATCATTACGTTCCTCGCAAAGTGAAGACGAAGATCGAGATTTACAATCACGTTCTCCGAAGATTTCCTGTCGTTCACCTTACTTCTTGCGTGAAACTCCACGTTACCAACCGAACCCCAAGAGAATGAAACAAAATTCAGAAAAGATGATAAATCAACCTGATGATTGTTCAAGTTCAATAGTGAGAGATGATATTATAAGGAAAATGTCCATTTGTTTATCTTTTTATGGGAATTTTGTTCTGATTCCCGCAGTCGAAAAGACATTGAAGAAAATCGATGGTCAAAGATTTACTTATTGGTACGAAATGATGGAATTTATTGATTCTTATGATTCACCGTCTGCAGATGAACATCGAAAGAAATTAATTGATGAATTAATGCAAAACATGCGTGAATTTGTTGAAAACGAAGGAATATCACGTGAAGATTGGCGCAAAATGCTATGTTCAATACCAGATGATGTTATCGATAAATTCGATTACCGATTAGAACAAACTATGTTTGATGAAATTCTAAATCTGGCTGAAAAAAATCTATTACCGTTTAATTTAAATAAGCCATTTATTTCTTTATTAAATTCCGCGAAAAAGTATGTCAAAAAACATATTCGAAAATGAAACATTTGAAACGTTACTCTTGAACATTTATTTCGTTTAAATAATAAATTTTATCGTACATACTCGTGTTCTTTTGGGAAATCTGAATCTTTTTTTAGCCGTACCATTCGCTTAACGAACAAGTCCACTAAGCAGTGTGTTGTATAAATTTATTTTACTTATTATCGAATAAATTATGCAAAGAATTTCGGGAGAAAATGCATTCATCATGGTTTTTTTTCATCAGTGAGCAGAATGTTGAATTGCTTGCCGCTGAATTATCGAATAGAAAGAATGAAATGTTCTTTTCTGTGTACAGTATTTTTCGTATCATCAGAAGTAATCGAAGGTAATGCCAGTGAAATGTGTTGCGGGACTCGAAAACCAAGGAATAAAAGTAAGGGTGTGGTTCGTTTGGATGATTTCAGTCGAGTTAGTGAAACAGCTTTCTGCAATATATAACAATAGGGAAGGATGTGGGTGTAATGTCTCTGTTTATTTTCATTTGTCACATAAAATAACTGCCAATCATGAATAAAATTAAATGATAAATATTAAAGGAATCCATAACACAGCTACACATGATTCATATAGTGAGTTACTCGAAAATACTGTACCCATTGTTAACCGTCCAGCTCGAAGCGCTGAACTCGATTATTACTTTGATCGCTAACGTAAAGAAACGTTTCGTTAGCGTTGAGTGCTACTCCAACGGGTGAACGGAGCATAGTAGGAAGCGATCCTGCTGTTCCTGTCCCAGCAACTGTAGTTGCTTGTGTATCATTCATTTTCCATCGCTGAATTCGATTGTTATTCGTGTCAGCAATGTACATGTCACCGTTCTTCGGGGACACCCATACAAAGTACGGTTGATTCAATTGATTTGGATTTGATCCCGCTCCGTTTCCTCCGGCTACCGTCACGCCTACAGAACTATTCAACTGAAATTTCTGAATACGATGATTCATACTATCACAAACGAACAGCGAAGACGAAGTTTTATCAAAAAAGATACCTCGTGGATAATTCAAATACGTCGACGAATTACCACTTTGATTATAATAACCAATAACAATCGTATTATTATTTCTGATAATAACATGTGTATCGAACAACGAGGTGTACATATTATTATATTGATCGAAAGCTACTCCCCAAACGCCAATACCTCTTGAGGCGATGGTGCCTTGTGTGACATTCACTGTGATGTTTGGCGGCCATTTCGTCAACCGATTAAGATTACGATCAGTAACATAAACATATTCACTGCTATCAACAACGACATTCCATATTCTATTCATTATAATGTTCCGTTGTGGATAGCCGAGACCACCGGCTACAGTAGTTCCCAGACGGCTACCAAAATGAAAACGTTGCACTCGAAAATTATTCGAATCGCATACGTAGAAAGTTTGATTGATCGATGAAACAAATATACCGCGCGGTGCATTTAATCCCATAGCATCATCACCAGCTGTCATATTGTCATAACCAGCAATTGTAACGCCGATCGGTAATTGATCAGCTAGAATATAATACAATAAATATTGAGTAACTAGTACGATGCACTCTTCCTGGAAAAGGTTGTTTTCGATTATTGTTGTATAAATAGATGTTTCCCTCAGAAATGTGCGGGACCGCATTTTCAGGTATTATGTGGATCTCATCCCTTTTTGCTAGCTCGAGAATATTTCTAGTTTAACGATCGGCTTTTGATGTAAATATCTTATCTAACTTTCAGCCGAAACTTTCCTACAGGTGTAAAAAGTACTCTCTAAAAAGCCAGAAAAGTATACTAGAAATACTTACTCGGATCACTTGTTATATCAGATGTCACAACTTCGGTTGTCACTTGAGTTGATGCAGTCGTTGATGAACTCGTTCCAACCGAAGTGCCTAATAAGAGAAGCAAAATTAAAAGACAGTATAGAACTACAATTTTTTTCATATTTATGCTTCCGCATTACAACCATCAGATAGACCTGTTGTGTTGTATAGCACACTTGTATTCGGTTGCAAGGTGATAGCCAGTGTAGAACTTCCAATCGTCGCATCTGTAACAAACGGCAAGACAAAATGTTCAAAAATAATTCTGAAAAGCGTTGCGACTTACATCCACACTGATTGGATGGTAAACAAGTGTAACCAAAATCTTCTCGACACATGCTTCTGTTTTGTTGACAAGATGCACCGATTACAGGTAACTGTGGTGCACATATGGATGTTGATATATTCCAATAAGTGTGTGGAACGCATTCACATGTGGAATTCGTTGAGCATGTAAGATAACGAGTTTCGTAGCAGCTAGTCTGACATGAAAGACCATATTGTGAAAATACAGCTGCAGAGATTTTAACGACACCAACTCTTGATTGAGATGGTACTGCAATAATACTACCCACTGTATCTATATCACCTTCGAATAATCGACATTGGTCCAATGCAGATACATCATAATCAAAAATGCGACACAATCGATTTTGATTGCATGCAACAGCACATAACTTCAATGAGTTCCTTGTTGTTGTCGAAAGCAGCTGTGCTGCTGGATTGACAGGAGAATATTGAGTACCATTAGAATAGTACACGATGTAAGATTGACTTATTTGATCGGAATGAGTAGAATCGATCACCAAAGTAAGCAACGACCAAATGAAAACGACCAATTGTCCATTATTACGTTGATACACAAAAAGCATTACTGAAAATCAAACGATATCTGAAAGATGGTTAGTTTTAATCAGACACAGATGTTATAGAAGCCAACTATCAAATTCTGCACTCGCACTCTTGTTTATTCATAGTATACCGAATAGAGTAATAAAGGTGGATCGTTAATTGTTTCGGGATTTAACAATTTTTTTCTGTATTATTATAGTATGAGTGTTGATTAGATACATAAGAATACGCTTATGAGAAATAATTTTAAGTTATTCAGTGCACTTCTCTTCCTCTTTGTTCCATATATATTGGAGTACATGGTAGAAAAAGAAATTTGTTATTATGTAATTTCCGATGATAATGAGTTTTACAATAAGGGAAAACTAATTATCTGCAAGTATTATTGAATTCTACACGCTGAAACAGCTCCTTCTAATCTCACAGCACTTGGAAAATACTATTTTCCGCCAGTTTCTCCATTTTATATTATGCATTTAAATTTTGCACTGACGTCCTTGGTGAAATAAAAAAAGTTTTTTGAGATCAAAATCGATCGAAACATCGTTTTGATATACGCCGTATAGGACGTAACAAAAAGATGCATGCGTATACCTAACAAATTTTTTCGTTCTGTTCTACCGAAATGTGAAGGTGTTTTTATTTGGTAAAATGGCACATGCTCAACAAAATTCGTCATCTGAGAGACGAATATTTTTCGACACATAAACGTAAATGTCGAAAAAAAATTCATCGCCCATTCTCGGACTCTCCGTTGAGATTGTCTATCGAATTCTTGATCACTTGGAAGTATCAACCATCCTTCGATCACTTCGAAATATTTGTACTCGACTCAATATCATTATCGACACTTATCATCGATACCAGGTCACTTCCAACACCTTTACGTACGTAAAACAACTTTTATTTTCGTGTTGACAGATCTATACCACACTAGATCTTTCCACTCCAGTTGTTAATGACAAGAAAATTCAATGCTTATCCAATGCTTTAGAGAATAATACTGTAATAGATACATATTCGTCGATATGCAGTAGATCTCATCTCTTTCGCACAGACAATAACAAACCTACAACTTCAAGTGACTGATATTGATAATCGTTGTGCAAGATATTTAGCACATGTCATACGAAAGAATCGTGTAAGTCTTATTCTGCGCTTAATAAGCTGCTTTGACAAACTCTGTTTTCGTTGAACATAGACACTAACGCATGTGAATCTTAAGTATAATAAAATCGGTCCACAAGGCGTACGATACTTAGCTCAAGCATTGTACATTAATCAGGTCAGATTAGTTCACTTTTTCTTATTTTTTATATTCGCTTTGATCTTTATTAACAGACACTGACGAGTCTCGATCTTAGCTCGAATACAATTGGTTCTGAAGGAGCTCAATATTTAGCTATTGCTTTACAATTTAATCAAGTGAAATAATTTCTCGTCTTTTCCTTCGTCATTTCCATATTTCTCTAAAGACACTTACAGACTTGTCTTTGGAATCTAGCAGTCTTGACTCCAATGCAATGAAGTATCTCGCAGAAGGATTACAAAAAAATAAGGTCCGTTAACTCTCTTTTTCTCGTTATTTGACGTTTGTGATTTAGAAATTGATGAAATTANAACAAAATTCAGAAAAGATGATAAATCAACCTGATGATTGTTCAAGTTCAATAGTGAGAGATGATATTATAAGGAAAATGTCCATTTGTTTATCTTTTTATGGGAATTTTGTTCTGATTCCTGCAGTCGAAAAGACACTGAAGAAAATCAATGGTCAAAGATTTACTTATTGGTACGAAATGATGCAATTTATTGATTCTTATGATTCACCATCTGCAGATGAACATCGAAAGAAATTAATTGATGAATTAATGGAAAACATGAAAAAATTCGTAAAAAACGAAGGAATATCGGATAAAGATTGGCGCAAAATGTTATGTTCAATACCAGATGATGTTATCGATAAATTTGATTATCGATTAAAACAGAATATCTTTGATGAAATTCAAAATCTGGTTGAACAAAATCGATTACCATTTGATTTAAACAAGTCTTTTGGTCGCTTATTAGACTCCGCGGAAAAACGTGCTGGAAAATATATTCGAAAATGAATCACTTGAAATATTATTCTTGAACATTTGTTTTATTTAAATAATAAATTTTATCGTACATACTCGTGTTCTTTTGGAAAATCTGTATCTGTTTTTAGCAGTACCATTCGCTTAACGAACAAGTCCGCTAAGCAATATATATTGTATAAATTATGCAAAGAATGTCGGGAGAAAATGCATTCATCATGGTTTTTTCATCAGTGAGCAGAATGTTGAATTGCTTGTCGCTGAATCATCGAAGAAAGAATGAAATTTTTTTTTTTTCTGTGTACAGTATTTTTCGTATCATCAGAAGTAATCGAAGGTAATGCCAGTGAAATGTGTCGCGGGGCTCGAAAACCAAAGAATAAAAGTAAGGGTGTGGTTCGTTTGGATGATTTCAGTCGAGTTAGTGAAACAGCTTTCTGCAATATATAACAATAGGGAAGGATGTGGATGTAATGTCTCTGTTTATTTTCATTTGTCACATAAAATAACTGCCAATCATGAATAAAATTAAAAGATAAATATTAAAGGAATCCATAACACAGCTAGACATTATTCATACAGTGAGTTACTCGAAAATATTGTACGCATTGTTAACCTTCCAGCTCGAAGCGCTGAACTCGATTATTACCTTGATCGCTAACGTAAAGAAACGTTTCGTTAGCGTTGAGTGCTACTCCAACGGGTGAACGGAGCATAGTAGGAAGCGATCCTGCTGTTCCTGTCCCAGCAACTGTAGTTGCTTGTGTATCATTCATTTTCCATCGCTGAATTCGATTGTTATTCGTGTCAGCAATGTACATGTCACCGTTCTTCGGAGACACCCATACANGTTTCGTTGTGCATAGCCGAGACCACCGGCTACAGTAGTTCCCAGACGGCTACCAAAATGAAAACGTTGCACTCGAAAATTATTCGAATCGCATACATAAAAAGTTTGATTGATCGATGAAACAAATATACCGCGTGGTGCATTTAATCCCATAGCATCATCACCAGCTGTCATATTGTCATAACCAGCAATTGTAACGTCGATCGGTAATTGATCAGCTAGAATATAATACAATAAATATTGAGTAACTAGTACGATGCACTCTTCCTGGAAAAGGTTGTTTTCGATTATTGTTGTATGAATAGATGCTTTCCTCAGAAAAATGTGCGGGACCGTATTTTCAGGTATTATGTGGATCTCGTCCCTTTTTGCTGGCTCGAGGATATTTCTAGTTTAGCGATCGGCTTTTGATATAAATATCTTATCTAACTTTCAGCCGAAACTTTCCTACAGGTGTAAAAAGTACTCTCTAAAAAGCTAGAAAAGTATACTTGAAATACTTACTTTGATCACTTGTTATATCAGATGTCACAACTTCGGTTGTCACTTGAGTTGATGCAGTCGTTGATGAACTCGTTCCAATCGAAGTGCCTAATAAGAGAATTAAAATTAAAAGACAGCATAGAATTACAATTTTTTTCATGTTTATGCTTTCGCATTACAACCATCAGATAGACCTGCTGTGTTGTATAGAACACTTGCATTCGGTTGCAAGGTGACAGTCAATGTAGAACTTCCAATCGTCGCATCTGTAACAAACGGCAAGACAAAATGTTGAAAAATAATTCTGAAAAGCGTTGAGACTTACATCCACACTGATTGGATGGTAAACAAGTGTAACCAAAATCTTCTCGACACATGCTTCTGTCTTGTTGACAAGATGCACCGCCTACAAGTAATTGTGGTGCACATATGGATGTTGATGTATTCCAATAAGTGTGTGGAACACATTCACATGTGGAATTCGTTGAGCATGTAAGATAACGAGTTTCGTAGCAGCTAGTTTGACATGAAAGACCATGCTGTGAAAATACACCTGCAAAGATTTTGACGACACCAACTCTTGATTGAGATGGTACTGCAATAATACTACCCACTGTATCTATATCACCTTCGAATAATCGACATTGGTCCAATGCAGATGCATCATAATCAAAAATGCGACACAATCGATTTTGATTACATGCGGCAGCACATAACTTCAATGAGTTCCTTGTTGTTGTCGAAAGCAGCTGTGCTGCTGGATTGACAGGAGAATATTGAGTGCCATTAGGATAGTACACAATGTAAGATTGACTTATTTGATCGGAATGAGTAGAATCGATCACCAAAGTAAGCAACGACCAAATGAAAACGACCAATTGTCCATTATTAGGTTGATACACAAAAAGCATTACTGAAAATCAAACGATATCTGAAAGATGGTTAGTTTTAATCAGACACAGATGTTATAGAAGCAAACTATCAAATTCTACACTCGCACTCTTGTTTATTCATAGAATACCGAACAGAGTAATAAAGGTGGATCGTCAATTGTTTCGAAATTCAACCATTTGTTTTCTGTATTATTATGGCACGAGTGTTGATTAGATACATAAGAGTACGCTTATGAGAAATAATTTTCAGTTATTCAGTGCACTTCTCTTCCTCTTTGTTCCACATCTATTGGAGTACATGGTAGAAAAAGAAATTTATTAATATCTTGTAATTTCCGATGATAATGAGTTTTACAATAAGGGAAACTAATTATCTGCAAGTATTATTGAATTCTACATGTTGAAACAGCTCTTTCTAATCTCACACCACTTGGAAAATGTTATTTTTCGCCAGTTTCTTCATTTTATATCATGCATTTAAATTTTTCACTGACGTCCTTGGTGAAATAAAAAAGTTTTTACTTTGAGATCAAAATCGATCGAAACATCGTTTTGATATACGCCTTAGGACGTAACAAAAAGATACATGCGTATACCCAACAGTTTTGAGAGACGAATATTTGTCGACACATAAACACAAATGTCTAAAAAAAATTCATCGCCCATTCTCGGACTCTCCGTTGAGATTATCTATCGAATTCTTGATCATTTGGAAGTACGAACCATCCTTCTATCACTTCGAAATGTTTGTACTCGACTCAATAATATTATTAATACTTATCATCGATATCAGGTTATTTCCAACATCTATACGTACATATAACAACTTTTATTTTCGTGTTGACAGATTTATACAACACTAGATCTCCCCACTCAAGTTGTTAATGGCAAGAAAATGCAATGCTTTAGAGAACAATACTGTAATAGATACATATTCGTCGATATGCAGTAGATCTTATCGCTTTCGCACAGACATTAAAACACCTACAACTTCGAATGACTGATAGTGATAATCGTTGTGCAAAATATATTTAGCACATGTCATACGAAAGAATCGTGTAAGTCTTACTCTACGCTTAATAAGCCACTTTGACAAACTCTGTTTTCGTTGAACATAGACACTAACGCATGTGAATCTTAACTCTAATAAAATTGGTCCACAAGGCGTACAATACTTAGCTCAAGCATTGTACATTAATCAGGTTACATTAGTTCATTTTTTTCTTTTTTTTTACATTCGCAATTGATCTTTATTAACAGACACTGACGAGTCTCGATCTTAGCTCGACTAGAATTGGTTCTGAAGGAGCTCAATACTTAGCTATTGCTTTACAATTTAATCAAGTGAAATAATTTCTCGTCTTTTCCTTCGTCATTTCCATATTTCTCTAAAGACACTTACAGACTTGTCTTTGGAATCTAGCAGTCTTGACTCCAATGCAATGAAGTATCTCGCAGAAGGATTACAAAAAATAAGACGTTTGTGATTTAGAAATTGATGAAACTATCTCTCGCACATAATCCAATTGGTCAGTCAGNTTAGCTATTGCTTTACAATTTAATCAAGTGAAATAATTTCTCGTCTTTTCCTTCGTCATTTCCATATTTCTCTAAAGACACTTACAGACTTGTCTTTGGAATCTAGCAGTCTTGACTCCAATGCAATGAAGTATCTCGCAGAAGGATTACAAAAAATAAGACGTTTGTGATTTAGAAATTGATGAAACTATCTCTCGCACATAATCCAATTGGTCAGTCAGGTTTAGATTATCTCGCAAATGCGTTACAATACAACAAGGTAGACATGAAATCTTTGTGTACACATTTGTAACGTTGAATATAGACTTTGATCGAGCTGATATTGATTAGAAACGAAATGAATGGTAGAGGAGCAACACAACTGGGTTGGATTTTAAAATCGAATAATGTAAGATAGTTTGACTTTGTTTCTCATTGACATTTAACGATTCAGACATTGAAAAAACTCATTTTTTTCTCCAATCCAATCGATTCTGATCAGATGAAATATGTAGCTGATGGATTAGCTGTGAACACTGTAAGACAATGCATTTATTCGTATTGTATCTTATTCATTTTCAAATCCAGGCATTGACAGACTTGACTTTTACAAAAAATAATCTTGACTCTCGCGGTGCACAATACTTTAGTACTGCCTTGGAGAACAATCGAGTAAATCTATTTTGTACTATTCAATCTTATATAAAATCGTTTTTATTCACTACAGTCTCTTATCAATCTGTGTCTTAATGTGAATAACATTGGCACTGAAGGTATTCGATATTTAGCCAAAGCATTAAACAACAACCGAGTGAGCAAAATTCTATCGTTATAAATTTTAATATTTCATAGACTCTCACTGCATACAGACACTTACAACATTAAGTGTTGAACACAACCAAATTGATGGTAAAGGTATGAAGTATCTTGCAGATGCTTTACAAAAGAACACTGTAAGATGTTATTAAAATGTGCATCTCGATGACTTTTCGCGAATATTTAGACGATTACAACACTAAATTTATCGAACAATAACATTGGAAATGAAGGAGCACAACACTTAGCCGGCGCACTGGAAAAGAATACGGTGAAAATGTTTTCTGCTCATTTTCTTTCCATCTGAACGTATATTAAATAGACATTGACTAGTTTAATTCTTGAACAAAGTTCGATCGGTACTGATGGAGCACGTGCTCTTGCTGTCGGGTTACGAATTAATTGAGTAAATTGAACTCTCCCAGAAGCTCATATAGATATTTTTTCTCTTTCATAAAACAGACGCTGATCACACTAAATCTTCTTAATAATCAAATTGATTTAGCTGCCATAGAACAATTAGCCGACCTATTCCAAACGAATAATACTGTGAGAAGATGATTTTCATTCATGTAACTATTTGTATTCTTTCATTTAGGCAATCAGAGAATTTTCTCTCAGTCAGACGGCATGCGATGCTCAAGGAGCACAGTGTTTATTTAATCCATTACATTACAATAATGTGAAAGAAATTTTTTGTTTGCTCATATCTTATGCTAATTCGTCCTTTTCAATATAGACACTTACTACTCTCACAATCAAAAGCTATAAAATTGGCTCCAAATCAATGTCAAATCTAGCCGACGCATTACTATACAACAGAGTAGAATTCGATTTCTTCCATATATATATACCCTACGCTTCTTAACCTAGACATTGACAACACTAGTTTTTAAATCGGTTGACATTGGTTCTGAAGGAACACAGTATTTAGCAAAAGCCTTAGAAACTAACAATGTTAGTAACATTCTTTATTGTTTACGAATTGTTATTGATTCAATGTAGACACTCACCACATTGGAAATCGTCTTCAGCAAAGTTCGTAGCGAAGGGCGCAACATTTATCAAATGCATTAATGTATAATAAGGTGAATATATAATCTGCAGCGCCCTGTTCACACGCACACGGTTCGTTGTAGGGTCTAGCGATGCTGAGTGTGGTATGGAACCAAATCTATTCGGAAGGAGCTCAACATATGCCTAATGCTCTCAAGTATAACAATGTGAGACAATTTCTACTCTTCGTTCATGAATTGTATTCATTTCTTTATAATAGACATTGAAGAAATTAAAACTGGGAAGTAATGAAATGCTTGGAAGATGCACTACTGGTTAATCGAGTCAGTTTCATTCATTTCATTTCCATCTGCTAACTTTGATTGTTCTGATATAGACACTCGAAGTGTTGTCATTTGGTTATAAATATGAATGTGAAGATGCAGTACAATACATAAAAGATAAATCACTTTATTTCGCAGCAAAAATAGAGTTGGAATGTTGATTATTGACTAACACGTACTTTGTTGAAAAAAAACTGAAAATAATTGTTTTTTTTGTCATCGAAGAAGATTAACGCGATAATTGAAATAACAGCGTATTTGCAAAATGACACAAAATCTTCAATTATTTGAAGATTAGTCCTTTTGATTTGATTACGCGAAAACAACAATTCTATATCGTTCGTTCTGTATATATAACGACAGAATATCACATTCAATTGGTATTATTAGACAAACGAAACATGTTGTCTGTATCGGCAATATATTTCTTCTCATTCATTTTTTTCTTCAGGTAATTCGAAAAGTACTTGACTGACTCAGAGAAATTTCCTCATTAATCTATAGTGTACCAGTCAGCGAAGTGACCTGTTCTGTTTGTGCTGATACATCTCAGTACGATCAATGTTCAGCGAATAGTGCGTGCGGTTGTTTTCACATGGTTGGCGCTCACAATGTTGGAATTTGCGGCTTTCTCTGGACAAGCTGTTCAACTCTTGCTCCATGTGATTCTCTAACCAATTCTTGTGCTAAAGATGATCATATCTGTGTTCACCATCCTCGATGTAATACAAGACCTGTTTGTTATCCAGCATCAATGATTGATCCACGAATTTGTCCAACAGCTACAGTGAGTACAAGTACAACCAATACGATTCCAAATGCAACTGAAATTACATCAACAACGACAACGACAACAATTACAACAACAACTTTTACTACTACTGGTGCACCAAGAAGTAAGTTCGATGCTCATGTTGACTAAACAGGGATTTTTTAATTCGTCAGACATCATTCAAAGTATCGATTTCTTTGCTAATTTGAAGCAATCATTGACGTCATTTGGATTGAATAGGCCAAAAATTTGTATATATATATATATTTCTGTATCACCTTGATGAGTATCTTATTTCAAAGGTGCGACAAAAATCGAAATTGATTCTACAGTGTATAGATTCAGTCCCTATAATCGTTCTCTCTTGACATGTTCCTTCGGAATTTTATATTTTATAACGAAAAAAAACTCTCTTATTCTTAGACTGGCGCTTTACTAGTGGCATGCCAATAGGATTGAGAGACCATGTAGCAACTACATTAATGGATGGAACAATTATGATGATTGGTGGCAACAATGATGATAACGGTGAAACGAATAGAGTTATTCTGTACAATTCGTCAAGTGAAACCTGGAGCAATGCAACTAGTATGCGAAATGCACGATATGCACATAGAGCATCCATTTTATTCAATGGGAAAGTCTTAGTTACTGGAGGCCAAAGAGCTACATACATAACTACAGATAGTGTCGAATTGTATGATCCATCAACAAAAAAATGGACATCAATTGATAGTTTAAATCATGCACGGAGATACCATACAGCAACGGTTTTGTCAAATGGAAAAGTATTGATTGCTGGTGGAGAAACTTATAGCGTGAATTATGGTCAAATATCTATGAGTGCTGCTGAGTTATACGATCCATTTGCAGACATTTGGACAGTTACTGACAGTTTGAAGAATAATCGAACAAGACATACCGCATGCCTTTTAAAAAACGGAAAAGTACTGGTAGCCGGTGGTTCACAACTTACTTCAGAATTATATGATCCAGCAACAGGGCTATGGACAACGACGGGTAGCATGAAACAGTTCCGAGAAGGTCATACGATGTCATTGTTACCAAATGGACAAGTATTAGTTACTGGTGGACATAGTTTAAAGAGCGCTGAATTATACGATCCACTAACTGGAAACTGGACCTTTGTCGAAAATATGCATTATGCTAGACAATATCATACAGCAACTGTAATGTTAGATGGAAATGTCTTAGTTGCAGGTGGGTACAATACAACTGCTACGAACAGAGTCGAGTTTTATAATCCAGAGACAAGAAAATGGACAACAACTTATGAAAGAATGAAGCANGGTGGACATAGTTTAAAGAGCGCTGAATTATACGATCCACTAACTGGAAACTGGACCTTTGTCGAAAATATGCATTATGCTAGACAATATCATACAGCAACTGTAATGTTAGATGGAAATGTCTTAGTTGCAGGTGGGTACAATACAACTGCTACGAACAGAGTCGAGTTTTATAATCCAGAGACAAGAAAATGGACAACAACTTATGAAAGAATGAAGCATGACCGTCATAGTCACACAGCATCGTTGTTACCAAATGGAAAATTGTTGGTTGCTGGTGGAAATTCCAATAGTTACTACTGGCGTAGTGCAGAATTATATGAGTAATCATTCGAAATAAATAAAGAGTTTCAGTGATTTTAAAGTCGCATTCTTGAAATACTACTTATTTAAATATTCGTAAAGGCAAGGGTGTCGATAAGAACGACTAAACATTAGTTTCAAACGACTATAATTTCCTATTGTAAAGGCGATAAATGTTCTCATGATATTTGTTCAGTAAAGGGTCATCAGCAATGACGCCACGTTATATTTGAATATTGTCGATGTTGTATGACACAACGATAACGTTATTTCAACGCAAACTCATCGAACCATGGATCATACTCAAGAATTACCAGACTCTTGACTCAGGACGAAAAAATTTTTAGCATTTACTGTTAAAAAGAGAATTCTACCTCGATGTTAAATACATGTCAGATGTTGTTGACAGTTCATTGGATGAGATAAGTTTACTGATGACAACCGACTTCGCTTCATCAGTTTTTCTCTGAATATTACAACCATATCGCATAAATATTTTTTATTGCAATTAATAGATTTCGAAAGTAAAGAAATAGATCTTGTATGTACATGATATCTATCCATATTTACAACAATATAGTTTTAGTCCCGCCCTCGCCCGCAAAGTACTACTTTTTCTCGATTCTTTCACGTTAGAGAACAAAATCTCCTATGCAGATACAGTTGTACTCGACATTCTTATCTTGGTTATTCAACTTGTAGTAATTACAAACAATCTAAGCACGGTAATAATTGTCATGAACATATCGTAGATGAATATGAAAAAAAAATTGTGGTTAGATTTAATCGAGTGGATAAGATCGAATTACCCCTTATTTGCACACTCCCGTTATTTGATTAAGGCATTCTTTTTTCTCTCTCGTCTGACCATGCGATCGACAGAGAAGCATTATCAACTGTGTAATTTTATCTTAAAAACATTGACTTTCTGTTTCATTTTTCATGAAATATTTGGTTGGGAAGGTATCTTACACAAGTTGCAATGACTTCAGCAAAACAATTATTTGACCGTGAATATACTAATCTTGAACTATATCAATTGATATGGCTCGAGTCAAATTCGAACGATCAAAGCAATCGTATTGAGAAAAGAATATCTACAGAGAACTTAAGAAGCATTATTGATTATACAAAATTCTTTCACGATGTCGACGAATGTTTCGATTATATCAACAAGACACAAGATTCTATGACACTATTAGTTAGCACAGATGAGACCGTTATCGATGTTCTTACGAATGATCAACATCCTAAAAACTTGTTGGGTGTTTATGTGCTCTGCAATAGCGAGAAATCTATTCCAAAGGTGAGTTTCAAGTTTGAATGGTTTTTGGAATAGTAAAGAGTAATTTAGATAGTGCGTACTTATACAGATGTCGATGCTTTATTGAGNAGACAATATCATACAGCAACTGTAATGTTAGATGGAAATGTCTTAGTTGCAGGTGGGTACAATACAACTGCTACGAACAGAGTCGAGTTTTATAATCCAGAGACAAGAAAATGGACAACAAGTTATGAAAGAATGAAGCATGACCGTCATAGTCACACAGCATCGTTGTTACCAAATGGAAAATTGTTGGTTGCCGGTGGAATATCCAATAGTTACTACTGGAGTAGTGCAGAATTATATGAGTAATCATTCGAAATAAATAAAGAGCTTCAGTGACTTTAAAGTCGCATTCTTGAAATACTACTTATTTAAATATTCGTAAAGGCAAGAGTGTCGATAAGAACAACTAAACATTAGTTTCAAACGACTATAATTTCCTATTGTAAAGGCGATAAATGTTCTCATGATATTTGTTCAGTAAAGGATCATCAGCAATGACGCCACGTTATATTTGAATATTTCGACATAACGATAACGTTATTTCAACGCAAACTCATCGAACCATGGATCATACTCAAGAATTATCAGACTGCTGAATCAGGACGAAAAAAATTTTAGCATTTACTGTTAAAAAGAGAATTCTGCATCGATATTAAATACATATCAGATGTTTTTGGCAGTTCATTGGGTGAGATAAGCTTACTGATGACAACCGACTCCGTTTCATCAGTTTTTCTCTGAATATTACAATCATATCGCATAAATATTTTTTATTGTAATTAATAGATTTCAAAAGTAAAGAAATAAATCTTATATGTGCATGATATCTATCCATATTTACAACAATATAGTTTTAGCCCTGCCCTCGTCCTCAAAGTACTACCTTTTCTCTATTCTTTCACGTTAGAGAGCAAAATCTCCTATGCAGATAGTAGAGTTGTACTCGACATTCTTACCTCGGTTATTCAACTTGTAGTAATTAGAAAAGATCCAAGCACAGTGATAGTTGTCATGAATATATCGTAGATGAATATGAAAAAAAAATTGTGGTTAGATTTAATCAAGTGGATAAGATCGAATTACTCCTTATTTGCCCACTCGCGTTATTTGATTAAGGCATTCTTTTTTCTCTCTCGTCTGACCATGCGATCGACAGAGAAGCATTGTCAACTGTGTAATTTTATCTTAAAAACATTTGCTTTCTGTTTCATTTTTCATGAAATATTTGGTTGAGAAGGTATCTTACACAAGTTGCAATGACTTCAGCAAAACAATTATTTGACCGTGAATATACTAATCTTGAATTATATCAATTGATATGGCTCGAGTCAAATTCGAACGATCAAAGTAATCGTATTGATAAAAGAATATCTACAGAGAACTTAAGAAGCATTATTGATTATACAAAATTCTTTCACGATGTCGACGAATGTTTCGATTATATCAACAAAACAAAAGATTCTATGACATTGTTAGTTAGCACAGATGAGATAGTTATTGATATTCTTACGAATGATCAGCATCCTAAAAACTTGTTGGGTGTTTATGTGCTCTGCAATAGCGAGAAATCTATTCCAAAGGTGAGTTTCAAGTTTGAATGGTTTTTGGAATAGTAAGGAGTAGTTTAGATAGTGCGTACTTATACAGATGTCGATGCTTTATTGAGCGATTTGACTGCTGCTGTTAAATTCAAATCAAATTCACCAGGTCTTACAACAGATGATCTCTATCGAACATGGTGGGCTGACTTTATCGATATTTTATGTCATATTACTTATCCAAGCGATTCCTTGAAGCAATTAGTCGCTGCACTGCAAGAATACTATAGAGGAAACACAATTGCAATCGCAAAATTGACACAATTCGAACTTGAATATAAGTCCAAAGACGCGATACTATGGTATACACGTGATACATGTATCTATCGCGTTCTTAACGAAGCACTTCGACAGCATCATGTTGAACGTCTCTTCTTATTTGGCTTTTACGTCCAAGATTTGTTTCGACAATTAACTACTGAGTATGAACATTTTCGATCGTTATCTGCGAAGAATAATTGCAAAACGATAACATACCGTTATCAACTTATGTCTACGAATGAGATTGAAAATCTGAAAAAGAGAACTAGATTATTTCTTGCAGCGAATAGTTTGTTTTCAACAACATTGGATCGTCAAGTGGCCATGTTCATGCTTGAGTCTTTATCATCGGCACGACATGAAAAGGAGTTGGAAAGTGTTCTTTTCCTAATTGAATTGGATGTGCGAATGACTTCTCGTCCTTACGCAAATATATCGCATCTGAGCAATTTTCCTGAAGAATCTGAAGTTCTTTTTTCTATTGGTACAGAATTCGAAATTATCGATGTCAATTATAACGAAAATGTTTGGATAGTTGATCTGCGACTAAACGGAAACTGCTTTAAATACAGTGAGGATTTAGCTCGTTTGACTCCAAGAAGAGCTTTTATTTCTTGCGTGGATAAACTCATTCACACGTATCAGGTGCCATCACCAGAGGAAGTAGAAAACATTTTCAATGGTCTACAAAGGTTACACCCAGAGGAAAAATGGATCCCAGCTGCGAAGCATTACTGCTGGGCACAGTACCAACAACACATAATAAAGGATTACGAAAAAGCGATGTTGGAATACGACACAGCGATAGATATATGGCGCGAATGCATTCCGGATAATGATAGTGAGCTGAACTGTTGGTCTCATATCGGTGATATCCATGGATCCATAGGAGCTTTTTGTCATAGTATTACTAAAGATAAAGCCTTAGCCAAGAATATCTATACGGTGGCTATGAGCAATTATAAGGCAATAAATTTAGAATTTGTTGACGATTTTGCAAGAACAGATATGTTATCGAATTTGGCTGGCACAGCTAAATCTGTAGCCACAATGTCCGATGATGGTGATGAAAAACGACAAGCGTATCTCTACGCAATCGAGCATTATAAATTATGTTTGAAGAACATGATGAAGTGTTATTTACCTACGAGTACCCAATATGCAACCTATTATACGAGTTTAGCTGATGTCTATAAAGTTATAGAAGATTATGACAATGCCATTGACAATTATATCAATGCTTTGAATATTCGAACACAACATTTTGGTATAGCACATTCTCTTATCATAAGTCTGTGCGAAGAAATTGTGGAAATCGACTTCTTGCTTCATCGTAATCACGAAAGACAGTTGAAATATCAACTAATGAAGCATGAGCATCTTTTGAGAGATGAAACCGAAGACGTAAGACACAATCATACGACCTATCATAAAGAAGAACTTGGCAAAAGTCATGCTGCATTAGACTATATTTATATCAAATTGGATCAAATTGAGTTGGGTCAAAATCATCAACAGCAAGCTGTAGATCTACTTCAGTCAGTAGGAAGATTGGATTCACCTGAAATAAGCATTATTGAATCGATTGAAGTTTTGGAATAATTCATATATATTCTTACGAATCTAAGAACAAATCCTCTTATCTGTCATCTCTAAGTAAGGGTGTGGGTGAAGATGAATTGATCATTTTTGTAAACGCCGAACAAGTTCATCATCATATCGAAAATTTTACATTCTAAGATAGTACATACTTTTCCTTATAGCATCGATAATGAATACATTTCAATTTCAACTTCATCTGAAAGAATATCTCTGAGAGCATGTGTAACTCAATGATGTATTTACATTTGCCTCGAATGAATAACTCATCGTTGTTTTAGAATCGGAGGAAGGGATCTTCACTGATGACACAAAAGTTGTCGTACTCTTTAAAACTCGTTTGATTGATCTTTTTGAGGGCGGATGAAATCTTTGAATTGCAGCTTGTCACACCTTTGCTGCCTGTCTTCACTTTACATATTTATCGCTTGAGTATATCGTTTATTATTGGCTATAACAACGCAGTTTTTTTTTCGTATCTATTTGTTCTACCAACAATTCTTCCAACATGCGAGTTCGCGAAAGGTATTGACATAGAAATATCATACACCTATAATCTTCTTCTATTGCTCAGCTGGTGATATGAAAATTAAATAGACAAAAGTAGACAAAACGTGTCTTTTCCCAATACTCCGAAGCATATACGTATTTTTGTCAACACTATCAAATTGTTTCATATTAAACTCGTATGTTGTAAAGTATTTGATGGTGAGCGATTTTTTATATTCACAAACATCGAATGAAACATCGCAAGTCGATTTCTAGCGACATCCATCGTCTTCATAGATATATCGATGTTAACAATGGTCACAAGAACAAAGGTCGAACATTGTATTACATTCGATTCCATGTTGAATTCTGATGTTTCATCAATTATCTATCGTTCTGTGGCAAAACACGAAGAAAACCAAGCATTAGAAATCTGGTGTTCGATTTTCAACAATCCAGTTGATTTAGAAGAACGTTTGATCTTAGAATCTAGTGAAGATGGTCGACAGTATGTATGTGCGGGTATCACCAATGTTGCTACTCGAGATGAATATCGACGACGAGGTTTATCTCGACATTTATTACAAATGACGATTGATAAATTAGATCAAAGCAATGAATTTGATTTGTCGATGTTGGGTACGGGAAAAGTGAATCATTATGAACGTTTTAGATGGGAACAAGTCACTCAACCGATTCGAGTTATTATCGATTGGCAAATCCATGCTTCATCTCATGAAAATATTCAATGGCGTCCAGTATCAGATCTTTCCTATGAAGACATCGAACTTTTATGTAAAATGCATTCAAGTCATCGTCGTATTTATCAGATGCGACGATCTCCATGTTCCATCTTTTATCATTGGGTGAAACGAAGATGGGAAAAAAGTGCTGCTATTGTTTATCTCGACGAAGACAAAGGTTATGTAGTTATCGGTAATCCTGAAAATGAAGAAGATGTTGGTGTATTAGAATGGCGAGCATCGAATTTCGATCACGAGCAGAAACTTTTATCTTTAGCGGTCAACGAAATCCGACAACGTTATGGATTGACAAAACGGATTCAGTTGTTTACATTGCCACAGTATATGACAATTGAGCAATTGACTAACTGGGCTGGTCCGGTTCAAGTTGGAACTAATTACGATATAATGATGAGAAATATTCGATTACCACCCGGAATTTACGAACAAATAAAAAATTCTTTTTCGAATGGTCATGCTGTGTTCTGGTCAGGAGATTATTTTTAAATAAAAATATTCTTTGTGCTCTATGAATGTGTTACAAAAATCACGAGTGATACTTTTCAAATGTCACTTCAAACGATGAATCCTTCAGTTAATTAAAAAGTAACCGAGTTTTGCATCAAATCCGATATACATAAACGTATAGACTTGAATTTGACCTCGACGAAAAAGTGCAGCGTACCTTCTTGTTGTAAACAAAATCAAGATTGTTGAATTACAAACGACATTTGAAAATAAGTATGTTGCACTTGATTCTTAATTACCCGATGGACATAAATGGAGTTTTTCAGAAATGTTTTCAATCCAATTTCTCAATTAACTTGAGTTAAACTCGTTGTTTGTAAGAAATTCCGGGAAAGAGCTGCAAAGTGCTTGACCTATCTTTACAATTGACTCAGTTTTCTCGAGAAAGAAAAAGAAAAAAAAGAGAATTGTATTTGATTCATACTGTTAAATTCTGGAGTGTTCAACATGAATAATTGTCATATGATTTAGTCCATTCGTACGTGTTGTTCTTATGAATATTTAGAGAGAGAGAGAAGTAAGAATGTCCACTTTTTCTGTCGTACAAAATACCCAAAATGAATTTAGTTGCTATTCCTCGTTTCTGATCATCACTACTGGTATTCTCGGAAATATCTGCATTGTTATTGCCTTTACTTCGCGTTGGAATAACTCCTTTGCATTGTGTTTGTTGATCGTTCCGATATTCAACGGTCTCAACGTCCGATCGAAATTTTCTCGTACGTTCAGCCCAGATCCTACGAATCTGAACACCTCTTTCTGTAAAATGCAATTCTATTTGAGTGACGCATGGAGTCAAATCGGACGATATTCGGTCTGTCAGGCATATATCGATCATCATTTAATGATTAAGAATTATTCTCGCTTCGAAATTCTCAGTCAACCTATCGGTATCTGAAGTATCATTGCATTCACGCGATTGTCTTGACAATCATTCAAAATGGTGTATGCAGCCAATTCGGCACTTATAAATTTGTGTATTTTATTTGTTTTCTCATCACTGTGTCGCTCATTCCACAGTTGTTAGGCCGTTTTCAGAGGTTTATCCCATTGCAATCTGAAGAAATTACGGGTGCGAATTCGACCAATGGGTACTGACGTGATGAACTATAATGAAAACTTCTTTATACGACGTGAAGATCGAGTGTTATTGAGAATGGTTTTGGTTGAAAGTGCTGAGAACTATACTTTACCCATTGATAAGTCTGCAAATCCAAATAACGAACAGCGTTTGAACATTCCGAAGACTTCTCTATATACTCAAATTGAAAATTATCTTTTCCATCTCGAAATAACGTTTCTTTATTTTAACAATGCTGCGCTGTTCTATACTTATTTATTTGCATCGAAACCATTGAGAAACTCGAATGAGAATCAAATTCATATTCTTCGTATCTTCTACCGAAGAAAGTGAATCTGGTAACATTTTGTCTATTATTCGAGAGATAATTGAGGAGTATGGTTACTGGTTGTTGTTCTTTGTGAAACACAATAAAAATCCGAAGGAGTACAAAAGAAAACGACGGCTTGTTATCTTTGAAAAAGAAATCTGTGGCCATATTTGATTCTTTTCATAATAAATGAAGGTACGGGACGTGATAAGCTTTTTCGTACAAATGTTTTTTTAACGAACTCTAATAGTGTAAAAATGTAGACGTCATCACCATTCACGATTCTCTTCTTTTGCCAATCGGTATTATTTTAAAAACGAGGCAGATGGTTCTAATAGATTTCTTTTGTTCCTCAGAAAAACAAACTTCTTCAGTACAGTTATCTCAAAGATACACCCTTTCCGAATCATTGGATTTTTTGCTACAATGAATAACAAGAAATAAAAAAAACGGTATCAACACAATAAAAACATTATTTCAAGTTTTATTTATTGGTGGAATATGTATTCATATGAACACATGCGCTCAAATTTAAGTCGGTCATATTTAATGCGAATTCACCTGGTATCGTGAAAGCTCTTGTAGTGTTTCAAAAGAGAGACAAAAGTCAAATCTGTGACCAGCCTCTTCATCCGCAATATGATGCCCATCCTCCTTTTGAAAACCGTTGATGACAATGCACTTTTATTAAACGAGCTTTATTAGAAAGGTCAAAGAAAAAAACACAATTCCGCTTTTTATTCGCTACCAAATAGTTTTTTAATGGCTCGATGTTCCTGACAAAAATAAATCACTTAACAACATTAGAACAATGGCACAAATGGCACTCTATTTTCAATACTCATTTCCAATATAAAAACTAGATATGATCGAACAACACTCAATTATTCCATTTCATTTACTTCCATCTTCCTGGTCGGTCGTACACAGAAGATGTCTTCATACTTATTTGCTCTTATCGCATTCCTGGCTGTGACCAGTTCAATCAATGCTCACGTTGCCGAGCTAAGTAAGATTTTCTCTTAACTACTTGAATAATTCCAAGAGAAAACTTTATACAATTCTACTATAGAGCTCACAGCCACTGCAACTCTACAGTCGCATGATTGCAAATCCAAAAACGCGAACACCGTCGAAGGCAAGATCGTTCTTAAGAACACTGATCACAACTTACTTGGGGATCACAAAGATACCCTATCCAAAGCCCTCACCGATCATGTTCGATCAGGATGTGCTGCTAACGCTAAATCAGAAGCCAACGTGCACACCGTCACAAAACTCGGTAACGGTGACTTGGAAGTAGCCTACACATGCACAGGTGTTAAAGACCACGACACGTGCCACAAGTCATTACACGCAGCCTGCGGAAGCGATCATGTAAAACAGACAATCGGAAAATGTTCCCATTCTCACCCACAAACCGGCAAAGCAGCACCAGCGAAGCTCGAATTACCTACAGCAACTATTGGTAAGTCAAAGTCGCCACAAGTACCCAGTTGACACAGTCTGACTCACCCGCCGGCCGATCCAATTTTAACTAGTCATATTTCCTTTTAGCCGTCGCTGGATCTGCAACTCTACATTCGCATGACTGCAAATCCAAAGACGCAACGAGCGTCGAAGGCAAGATCGTTCTTAAGAACACTGATCACAACTTACTCGGGGATCACAAAGATACCCTTTCGAAAGCCCTCACTGACCATGTTCGATCAGGATGTGCTGCTAACGCTAAATCAGAAGCCAACGTGCACACCGTCACAAAATTGGGTAACGGTGACTTGGAAGTAGCCTACACATGCACAGGCGTTAAGGATCATGACACATGCCACAAGTCATTACACGCAGCCTGCGGAAGCGATCATGTCAAACAAACAATCGGAAAATGTTCCCATTCTCACCCACAAACCGGCAAAGCAGCACCAGCGAAGCTCGAATTACCTACAGCAACTATTGGTAAGTCAAAGTCGCCACAAGTACCCAGTTGACACAGTCTGACTCACCCGCTGGTCGATCCGATTTTGACTAATCATATTTCCTTTTAGCCGTGGCTGGATCTGCAGCTCTACATTCGCATGACTGCAAATCCAAAGACGCAACGAGCGTCGAAGGCAAGATCGTTCTTAAGAACACCGATCACAACTTACTTGGGGATCACAAGGACACCCTTTCGAAAGCCCTCACTGACCACGTTCGATCAGGATGTGCAGCTAACGCAAAATCGGAAGCCAACGTGCACACGGTCACAAAACTCGGTAACGGTGACTTGGAAGTAGCGTACACATGCACAGGTGTTAAAGACCACGACACGTGCCACAAGTCATTACACGCAGCCTGCGGAAGCGATCATGTCAAACAAACAATCGGAAAATGTTCGCATTCCCACCCACAAACCGGCAAGGCAGCGCCACATGATGCACACACAGCTGCAACAGTTAAGAAAGAAACACATGCAGGTTTGTGAAGCTGCACGGAATCTTCTTCCTACACAGTCAAACTGGTGCGGTGCTCACCGGATTTTCATTTATTATTTTTTCCTTTTAGCCGTCACTGCCTCACCAGCTCTCCATTCACATGACTGCAAATCAAAGGATTCCCACACGGTGGAAGGCAAGATTGTTCTTAAGAACACTGATCACAACTTGCTTGGCGACCACAAGGACGCCCTGTCCAAAGCCCTCACCGACCATGTTCGATCAGGATGTGCTGCTAACGCTAAATCAGAAGCCAACGTGCACACCGTCACAAAATTAGGTAACGGCGACTTGGAAGTAGCCTACACATGCAAAGGTGTTAAAGATCATGACACATGCCACAAGTCATTACATGCAGCCTGCGGAAGCGATCATGTAAAACAGACAATCGGAAAATGTTCTCATTCTCACGCACATACTGGCAAACCAGCGCAGCATGATACCCACACAGCTGTGCCGCTCACACATGCGACGAAGGGCCACTCTGAACATGCTCCAGCAGGCACACACGCTGCAGCAGGAACGGATGCCCCTCCTGAACATCAAGCCACGCATAAAGCAGAGCATGAAGCCTCACACAAACCAGAACATCATGAAGCCACCCATAAGCCAGAACATCATGAAGCCTCGCACAAGCCAGAACATCATGAAGCATCACACAACCCAGAACATCATGATGCCTCGCACAAGCCAGAACATCATGAAGCATCACACAAACCAGAACATCATGAAGCCACGCACAAACCAGAACATCATGAAGCCACCCATAAGCCAGAACATCATGAAGCCACGCACAAACCAGAACATCATGAAGCCTCGCACAAGCCAGAACATCATGAAGCCACGCACAAACCAGAACATCATGAAGCCACCCATAAGCCAGAACATCATGAAGCCTCACACAAACCAGAACATCATGAAGCATCACACAAACCAGAACATCATGAAGCCACCCACAAGCCAGAACATCATGAAGCCTCACACAAGCCAGAACACCATGGTAAGGACCATGAAGCCACGCACAAGCCAGAACACCATGGAGCCAGTCACAAGCCAGAACACCATGGTGTCTCACACAAGCCAGAACACCATGGTGTCTCACACAAGCCAGAACATCATGGTGCTTCACACGAACCACAGCACCATGGCAAAGACCATGGAGCCACTCACAAGCCAGAACACCATGGTAAGGACCATGAAGCCACGCACAAGCCAGAACACCATGGTAAGGAACATGGAGCCAGTCACAAGCCAGAACACCACGGCAAGGACCATGAATCTACGCATAAGCCAGAACATCATGGTGCTTCACACAAGCCAGAACATCATGGTGCTTCACACAAGCCAGAACATCATGATGCCTCACACAAGCCAGAACATCATGGTGCTTCACACAAGCCAGAACATCATGATGCCTCACACAAGCCAGAACATCATGGTGCCTCACACAAACCAGAACACGGTGCCTCACACAAACCAGAACATCATGATGCCTCACACAAGCCAGAACATCATGGTGCCTCACACAAACCAGAACACGGTGCCTCACACAAGCCAGAACACCATGGCAAGGACCATGAAGGTACGCATAAGCCGGAACATCATGGTGCCTCGCACAAGCCAGAACACCATGGCAAGGACCATGAAGGTACGCATAAGCCGGAACATCATGGTGCCTCACACAAGCCAGAACATCATGGTGCCTCACACAAACCAGAACACGGTGCCTCACACAAGCCAGAACACCATGGTGCCTCACACAAACCAGAGCACCATGGCAAAGACCATGGAGCCACTCACAAGCCAGAACACCATGGTGCTTCACACAAACCAGAGCACCATGGCAAAGACCATGGAGCCACTCACAAGCCAGTACATGGTGCCACACACAAGCCAGTGCATGGTGCCTCACACAAGCCAGAACACCATGGCAAAGACCATGGAGCCACTCATAAGCCGGTGCATCACGGCAAGGCCGGTGACAAGGATCATACTCCATCGCATGCTCGACTTCCATTACATGATCAGTGTGGATTTCCAGGTATGGTGTTTATGCCTAGATTTGGTAACTCATTAATATCGAGTGTTAAATGGAATGATGTTTTTTTGTTGTGTGACGGCGCAGGAAAGTTGCTGTCGGAAGTAACTACATCTGTCAGTAGTGTAGCTGGTGTGGAGAAAGGTTGAGCTTGGTTGAAAGTGAGCTTAGTGTGCGAGTTTGAAGAAGTAAGTGATTTCGCGGGACAGAGAAGAGAAATAGGAAGAATGTTGGATGTGCTTGTATGTTTGGTATATTAATGTTCTCGTTTTAGGAAGATCTCATGGACATGATGATTCGTCTTCATCTGAAGAAAATCGAGTGAGACATGGTCATCCAGTAAGTAGAAAATGCGAATTGTGATGAACTTTGCTAGTAGATGGAATCCCTGTTGAGTTAATATTGTAAATTGAGGGTGAGGCGTAATTGAGTATATGTTGAGATTGGGATTTTAGTTGGAGGTTTGAAGTAGCAAATGTCAAAACTCAGAAGGAAAAAGTAGAATATAAAAAGTGGTTTGCTTTGAAAGGAGAACATAGATTGGAAATAGCTGTTGAGAAGTCTCATTCATCCCGAAGTCACTGTGGGAAATTGCATCATTTAAATTTATTCTAGCGACATTCACATCGAGACGACAGCTCATCGTCGGATGAAAATGACATTAAAAAACCTCAGGGTGGTTGTGGCCGATGTGCAATGAGTCATATAGTTTCATCGGTTGTTCTCAATGGTCTTACAGTTGAGAAGGTTTCGCGAAAGTCCGGTGGAAATTTTGTCGAACAATTCAAAAATGCTTTACACAAGGAGATCCAAAGACATCATCAGAAAGGCGTCAAATCAATCAAAGTTACAGCTTTAAATACTTTCAACGACGATAAATTGATGGTCGATTTTGTTACTTTTGTCGATCCGACACGTTACCATCAAATAAGTCGCGCTATTCGTCAAGCTCTTACCTCGAAAGCTGTAAGTTGAACACACCATTGTTTCGAGAGAAAAAAAGCATGATTTTCCCCCCCCTTATTTTATAGGTTGAAAAGGCACTCAAAGATCATTGCAATTAAGAGTGTGCAAGACGCCCACTGTTTGCCTGAATAACAAGCCAATTTTGATTGATTCGGTATTTTTTGGTGTGAGATATTAATTTTTTCTCTCTGCATCTTCAATAAAAGTATCATCTCATACGAGATTGATATCACTCTTCATTCTCTCAAATAAATGTAGTGACGAAGACATGCGCCGCTCATCGATCAATCCTACGAAAAAAGTTCGTAGAAAATGTCGTCAAGATCGAAACAGCACATGATGTAACTGAGAAACAAGATGAAGTTTATTTGTTTCGAAGGAGAAATTCCGAAAGAATATTGCCATTTTAATTCAGGCGACTATAGGACGGATACATTATGCGTTGATACTCACGAATTTTTGTAATTTGATCTGATTTATTTCTTCTATTGGTCGAAATATCAAATAGATTTGTTACTTATGAAAATGTTCGATTAACAGAAAAGATTATTCGAAATAATTGAATAAGTTGTATTGAAAATCCAATTATCTACTTGATTTTCCTTACAGATGTTATTCGAAATGATAAATGTCGATCCATTAATGAACAGACCTTGCCCATTTTGAACTATTCGCGATGAAATGATCTGAAATTGTGTAACCGATTGATTTACTACCCAAATACCCTTTCCTTTGTTATTTCTAACATGAACACCATCAAGAATAAAATTTCCACTTTTGATTGTAATTCCATTGCACCAATTTGAACTATTTGGACATTCATAAACTCCTCCATTGAATATCGTTCCTCCACTAATAGTTAAAAGTGCACTTGTATTTTCGTCTACATAAACTTGATGTTTCGTACTTGACGCTGCCCATATTCCCACGATTGAAACATAACTATTGTCACGTATAATTAACCCTTCGCCATTCGAATCAATTGTCGCTTGATTAATAAATATTTCTCTATTTGATCCATGTCCATTTACATTTTCAATCAAAATTCCTTGAGCTAAACCAATAATATCAGTGCTGTCAATATGAACACCTCCGTTATTTCCTGTACAATGAATTCCGATACTTTGATCAAAACGAGTATTTGCTCCGATGATTCGTCCACCGAAAATTCGAATCTCTGATCCATAGCCGATTTCGATTCCTGTTCCACGGATATCCCACATTATGACATCGCGTACTGTGTTTGTATCAGCAACGCCTGAAAAACATATTCCACTACTTATTGGACTGATTTTTGAATCATTCGAATTGAAAATGAGGTGTTCTATGTGACTTTTAACTAAATTTTCTCCATAAATACCGAATTTATTCAAGGATTTTCCAATCAAGCTCGATGTGATCACAAAGTCACGAATTGTTATTTCTGATATTTCGTTATTCATTTGTTTACTGGGTAAAATATGAATTAGATGATCGTCGAATTGCCATAAAAGAATCGAATTCATTCCATCACCACTGATTGTAAACGGAGCATTTGTTTGAAACATCAATGACGAGCGTATAACAAATGTTCCACTTGGAATGTAAAGAACGCCACCGTTGATCGTGCATTGAGAAATTGCCTTAAGAACCGCATTCGTATCATCGGTAGTTCCATCGCCAACTGCACCATAATCTTTAATATTGAATATTGTTGATGAAACTATATTGAATAGTAAAAGAAAAAATCCTAACCGAAACATGTGTTCTTATCTTTTGGATATGATAAAATAGAATTTCATCTTCTCGAGACAAGATGCAGGAGAGTTTTTGCTTATTCTACAATAAGATCATTGGCTTGTTTGAATGCTTTTGTAATCGATGGATTGTCTGGATTTGGTGGAGATGCAAGCTCGGAAATTGTTCCTTCTGATGAAAATCATCTTTTTTTGTGCATGAGAAAACACTATACTGTGATTCCATCGAACTATTTGATCACATTTTATTTATTTATTTCAGATAGAAAACGAGAAAGTATGAGCGTCATGATGTCTCTTTTTGTTAATAACGAAGAAATTTTTGAATACGAAAATTGAAAGTGTCTGATACGTATACATTCAGCTGTGAATCAAGTGCTAATGAATATGGAATTTGAAGGAGAATTGCATTGGCACCTAAAGTACTCGTTACACCAGCAATTGTTGTTGCATTTGATTCACCTGCTTTAAAAAATTGAATCCGATGATTACCTGTATCGGCAACATAGAGATTGCCCATCCAGTCGAGGGTTAAATCTCGAGGCGAATTGAGTAATGTTGACGAGTAACCACTCGCGCCGCTAATGCTACCTGCCAAAAGTGTCCAGTTTCTGGCACCCAAAATCCAACGAACAATATTATTCGCATCATAGTTGGCGATAATCAGACTGTTTGATGATGATTCGAAATAGAGACCGTAAGGCGTATACAGTCGTGTGACACCCGTGCCAGGACCATTTCCGCCGGCTACGACTGTACCGTTTGATATGCCCAGACGATAACACATTACTCGATGATTTCCCGAATCAGTGATGTAAAATTCATTTGAGACTGGATTGAGTGCAATGTCATACGGAGAGTTCAGCTGATTGCTTGATGAACCACTCGTGCCTAGGAGCGTCTAAGTGATTTTCATTCTCAAACCAAACACTAACTGCTTACCTGTTCCAGCGATAGTCGTGCCTGATGAGACGTTGTACGGCCAAAGTTGTACTCGATGATTGTTAGTATCTGCAACGTAAAGGTTGCCATTTGTATCAATGGCAGCACTAGAGGGCATATTCAAAGTCGTTGCTGATGCGCCTGCAGCACCATTAGCTTGTCCGGCAACCGTAGATCCATTCGGTGCGCCTGCTAACCATTTCTGAATTCGATTATTATTCTGATCAGCAATATACAACGTGTCAGCTGAATCGAATGTTAGGCCAGAAGGTTCGTGTAATCGGTCAAGAGCTGAACCCGGAGTGGCGACCTTTCCAGCTACAGTTATTCCAGTAGTATTCCAGCGAAGCAAGATGGTCGACGCTATCATAGTAGAAAATAAAAATATAAAGTAAAATATGTTTAATCCAAAGTAGAATTCCCATCAGACAAGCATGAGAAAGAAAGAAATCATTGCTCACATATAGTTGCACTACTATTAGTTTCAATGAACACGAGGTCAAAAACCTCCAAGATGGCTCAAACGTTCTTACTTGATACACAATGTGATCCATTCCAATATTGGGATTGATTCTGTGCACATTGCGATTGATTGCTCGAAGAAATATTATACTCATTTCGACATATCGTTCCATCGTAAAATTGTCCTGATAGACATGACCAGTAACTATTATTTGTGCATACCAAATAACGATGAAGATCGTGGGACATAACGCAAATTTGTCCGTACAAAGAATAGAGATCAGGCACTTGTTTGACATAACCAATACGAGACATCGATGATGTTGATGAAATAAATAGACCGTCAGTAGCCCAAACAGCAAAGATGCGGCATAGGAAAGAAGCAGCGTCATAATCGAATGTCTGACATTTAATCTCAGATGAACAAATCATTGCACATTTTAAGATTGAAGGTATACCAAATTGACTTGACATCATATCTGTTGAACTATTAACTTGAAATTCCATCCCGAAAGAAGACATTTCGAATTGTACGCTATGCTGTTGCTGTACAGCAACAGAAGTTAGCGTCATTAATAAGAATGTAGTCACAAGAAACATAACTTTTAATGTCTCAAAAAATGCGTTCGATAGCAGGGAATGAACGAAGATGCTTTTATTTTAATGAAATATATAGTTCATGTGTTCATGGAGAAGTAAAGAATGCTTGTCAAAACTTTTGACCGATAAAAAAACAGAAGTAGGTTTTATGTGTTTTACACAAATCGTAGTTTTTCACAAGAGGATAGTTGAAAAACAAAAGTACCCAATGTATTTGATGGAAAATACTTGAAAATCAGAACGTTTCAATAACAAATGATCCTGATATTATAGCGATGCGTTCGTCAAGTGAATGCAAAGCAAACTTCAAGTAAATACAGCATTTAAGAAAAAGTAATGACACTTGTCGATCCATCAGTACCTTCACACCTACGTGTTAGTTCAGATATTATATTTCCATCTAACTTTCACCTTCGCTTCACAAATAAAAAACAAAAATCGTTCTCCATTCCGTGTACTAGCAGCTATTAAATATAAAGTGAAAAACGTGAACATTGTTATACATTGATTAAAACTAAAAAAAATCTGTTCTTTTCTGGTTTCTCAAAAGTCTTTCATGGTTCAATTATAGACAAATCGTACATTGAAAAGTATTTCTTCTGTTTTCTGTAGACCATGTCATCACGACGAGTGTTATTTTATTTTGCTTACACAGGGTATCTTTGAATAGAACTCGAGTTCTTTGGTAATATTCGGATTTTAGCTGGACTGAAAGACCTTTTTAATCCTCAATCTTATTCACACGCTTATAAGTTATTTTTATTCATTTTAGCCAAACTGCATTTCTTTTGAAGTTACGTCTCATTTTTGTGCATATTTTTTTTGTCATTCTCCAGTGTAATGTTTTGAAGTGTATGTTGACTTTTTTCTTCAGCAAAACAAAATGTATGGATATTGTAAGAAAAAGACAACGTTTACCAACTAAAATATTCGTTTGATCCCGTAGCCATGCACAGCATTAAAAAATAGAATCTGCAATTTAAAAAGTAACTACAAGAGCAATCGACACTTTCAGGGAACTACGCAATTGTTGGCCTATTGACATCGAAAAGATGAAAGATATCAGTGTAATCTGGTTGAATAATCATATTGACACCAGCAAATAATATTACAGTTTACAATCGATCAGCATATTCACATACGATGATGAATGTCAATCGTAGTAGAACATGCCTGATCATTTCCGGTTCACTTGGGCAAACTTTTGTGTTTTGCATACATGATATTCTTCAATTGAATTTTCCTTGTATCTTTTGTCAAATCTTGTCATGAACAATGGACGAAAAACCGGAAAAGATCAAGCGTATTCTTATTGATATAACATATCACTTTGCAAAGGTATGGAGGGTACGTTCTATCGATATGATCAGAATGCCGTGCCATTAAGTTTCACGACATCTGGGAGGAAACTCGATCCATTATTTATATACACGCGACTCTTCGAAGAGATACAATTATCCATCGATTTCGAACAATTGAGAAAGGCCAATTATGGGCTGATGTCGTTCATCAACTTCTTATCAACGAGTACACAACGAGAAGCGTCATTATTATTTAACATAACCAGGGTGCATTTTCAAAAGCACTAAAACATATGATAAATCAATAGTTGTATGCAAAAGGTCAACTCTCACAAATCACCTTAGCTTAGCTACATCCTTCAGCAATATCGATACGGTGTATCAAAATATTGGCGATTATCGGAAATCACTCGAATACTATGAGAAAGCTCGTGTAATACAGCAGCAATCAGTTCATGTATACCATCCTAGTTTATATGTATTGTTACGTTCATTTATAAACTATTCTTATGTATTGAGCATGTAGTTCGTCCATAAATAAATAACTTCAAGGCGTTTGATCTGAGTATATTCACCCAAGTCGTGTCTGGAAAAGATGTTACTACCACATGAAAATCATGATCCGCTGATTAGAGATCATATCATGGGAACACATGTATGCTGCGGAAAAAGCAATGTTCAGGTTATAACCGATGCCTCATAGATCTACATGTCCAATAGTACTGATTGCAAAATTACTTAATCATATAAAAGAAAGAAAACTAAAGAAGTTGTTAAGTGTACCATAAAAACAAATTGATTATTTTGTTCTTGATGAAAATTGTTTATTATTATGGTGTTTCACAAGTTGTAGATAAAATAAAGAAAAATAAATATTTTTTTCTTTGTTGATTAAAACAAACTAGGAAGTGTTTGTTTATTTGGATAGATCCTAGAGTTGCTTTAGCAATGACGTTTTAGGTAGTTATCAACGTCTTCAGCAAAATGGCGACAATCATGAAAGCCGCAGTTATATTCACCCCAGTCTTTAATCACGACTCTTATATGACTTTTGAAGATTTTCCAAGTTAGTTCTTGTGTTAATGAAGAAACCTGACGAAGTACCAAATCAGATAAATCCATTATTCAAATCAAACCTTACTTTAAAACCATCCGTCTTCCATTCTGAATCTTCGACACGAATAATAAGTTGACCAGGAATACCAACAAGATGACATCGGTAAATTTTGCCTTTTTTCGTCTGAAATACAACCCATCCATGTGAATAACCTGTAGTTTTCGCATAAAAACTGACGATAATATCATCATCATCAAGATTAGCGGTTACGTCAAAGCCGGATATCTTAGAACCGTTTAATCGTTTATCATTATAGTAAACTTGGCAAGCGGCTATATACAAAGATTTGTTCAAATAATACGGAAATCGATTAACTTTCATTATATAACTTACCAGCAGTGAGGCCTGTATTACCATATAGATTGGTCATTGTGCTTCTTCGTTTTATAGATCTAGAACGTGCCTTATTTTTTCACAAATGATGCTTTTTAAGTACATATTCTTGTTTCTTTCCAATCGCTACGTTTGCCTTTAACGTACCTTTAATTAAAACATCCATTTCAATGAATGAAGTAGAATGTTCCTTTTATAAAAGTTTTTTACAAAGTGCTGTGCAAACTTGGCGTACTGCATCATATTTTCTTAAAATATTTACTTGCAGTCTTTTTCCATTACCAAAAGGATTTTTCCCGATGAGTCATCAAAACAGCGGTCCTCTGACATTCTGTTGGAATCTCCCCTTGAAACGATGACTGTGTTTTGCCTTCCTCCGACTTTATTCTCTTATCGCTTTGCGCAGTAACATGGGAATAAACCGAAGAATGTGACGTTGCGTTATATATGTCAATGTCTGAAATAATTGTCGACTATATTCCTGTCACACGACGTTTTTCGTGTTTGAAAGATATGTTTTTTTTGTGAACAATGGCTTTCTTCCCTTTTACGATGAAACAACGAAAATGACCAATCCTAGTGTGCTTTGATGTAGTTCGTATTTTTTTCTGAACAATTTTATTTGCTAAATACGATATAAAATAAATCAATAGCGATCATAATCGTCATCTCTTAAAAACAATTTCAATCCATTGTTCTTTCGTAGAGTTTTCATCACATAGTGTTTCATCAATTTTCCAATCTCATTACGCCGTAAATCAAGCGTAGTCAACGTCTAAACAAGCAAAGTAATCGAAAAATCATGAGAGTAGGTAGAACTTACCGTGTTATTGCGAAAGATGGTCGTCAATGCTTGTGCACCATGATCTCCGATACAATTCGTAGCCAAATCAAGGAAAGTCAGAGTCTAACTTAGATAATTAATCAGTAAATTGAGAGGAATAATTAGAAATTACCTTGTTATTTGCAAAAGCACTGGCTAAATGTTGAGCTCCTTGTTGTTTGATTTTATTATTACTGAGTACAAGAGATGTGAGAGTCTATAAGATGAATTTACATAGAAATACAAGGGAAACTCGATATGAAAATCTACGGTATTATTAATTAGAGCAAAACTCAAATGTTGAATGCCTTGATCTTCGATGTCATTTCGACTAAGATCGAGTTTGACAAGTGTCTAAAGAATCAAAAGAAAAAGTTCAATGAGTAAACCAAAGAAATGCATATGAACCCGATTATTTTGTAGAACAGCAGCTAAATATTTAACTCCTTCATCTCCAATCATATTGCGAGAGAGGAGGAGTGTAGCCAATGTCTAACGATGACGACGAAGATCATAAATCAGTAGAAAACTCAGCTTTCTTACTTGAGAGTTTCGCACAACATCCGCCAGATAACTCATTGCTTCATCTTCGATTTTATTTCGAGAAAGATCGAGTGTCGTCAATGTCTAAGCACGAAATGAGCGAATTCGAAGGGAAAACAACTCTAATCTTACATTATTATTCTGAAATGCAGTTGCTAAATGTTGAACGCCAGTAGTACCGAATGTATTGCCATTGAAATTGAGCGTCGAAAGAGTCTAAACAAAAACAATCAACCAAACTGATGTTGACTGCCGAGATTTACTGTATTATTCCTGAGAAAATTGACGAGATATTCGACGCCATCACCACTGATTTTATTATCATCAAGTTTCACCGTGATTAGCGTCTGAAAACCATCGAATGAATGTCGATTAGTGAAAACAAACAAAAAAATCGTTCGAATTTACTTTGTTGTTTTCCAAAGCTTTGCCTAAACATTCGGTTCCTTTATCATCAATTTCATTTTGGCTTAAATCAAATTCTGTCAATGTCTACATGAGCGAACGATTATCGGAACAAAGAACTTAGAGAGAAGAGGAATGATTACATCATTATTTTCGAGAATTCTTGCCAAATGTTGCGTTCCGTCAACACCAATGGTATTCGCGGACAAATCGAGGGTTTTTAATGTCTAATTCCAATAGAATTTTTATTCGAAAAAACAATCGAAGAAAAGATCTACCTTGTTATTCGCTAAAACGTTGGCTAAGTGTTCGGTTCCTCGCGAACCAATTTGATTTTTGCTGAGATTGAGTATCGTCAGTATCTACGAAGAATTCGGCTGATAAATTGAAATCGTACAAACCAACTTACATGATTATTTTCGAGTAGTTTAGTCAAGTGTTGGATTCCTTCATCGTCAATTTCATTCGAAGCCAAATTCAATGTAGTTAATGTCTGGAAATGCGAATGAAAATGCAAAGAAATCGATCACGAGATACTGACTGAATTGTTTTGAAAAGCATTTGCAAGGTTTTCGATGCCGCGTGTGCCGATATGATTATTTTCGAGATTCAGTTTGGACAGCGTCTGGAGAAAAGGGAGTTTTCGAAGGAAAGATCAGAGAGGATTCAAACTTTGTTCTTTGCGAATATTTCAGCGAGATATTTTGCTCGTTCCACGCCTTTATTTTCATCTTTTAGATCGAATGTCGTCGATGCCTGAAAGAACATTTCGGTAGAAATTTTCGTAAACAATCGAAAACTTACTGCAGCGCTCAATGAACCATCCGCTTGTTGTTGTTCGTCTTGGTCAGATGTTACATTGTCTTCAAGCTTTATCGGTGTTGTTCTCTAAATACGAACAGAAATCAAATGATATTTGATAGAGACGAACTATACATTGCCATTCTCGAAAACTTCCAACAATTCTTGCATTTTCTCACGTTCAATACTGTTTCCTTTGAGATTGAGAGTGACCAGTGTCTACAAGGACATTCCGCGAATAAAATTGTGTAAAAAAATAAGGTTTTTACTGTATTATCTCGAAAAGCGTCTGCTAAATGTTGTGCACCTTCGTCTCCGATATAATTTCCTTGAAGGCCGAGATTGATTAGAGTCTAAAAATAAAGCGAATTTCGATTACAAAACAGAAAAATACGTATATTCACATTGTTATTCTTGAATACATTCGCGAGATACTCTGCTCCGAGATCACCGATATAATTCGCATTCAGAAGAAGTGTTGTAAGTGACTACATAGATAAAACGGAATAAAATTTCATCAAAATTGTATATTTACCTGATTACTCTCCAGAGCATATCCTAAATATTCCACACCAGAATCATCGATTTCATTTTGAATAAGACTAAGGCTAGTAAGTGTCTATGAAAGGCAATCAAAATGCAATAATGAGAAGAGAAATGGTCGATTTTAACCTGATTGTCCTTTAGAACACCAGCCAAGTATAGAACTCCATCATTTCCAACCCAGTTGTATGAAATATCCAGTTCCGTCAACGTCTATAGACACGAAATTCAATTGAAGCTCGTTTGAGAAGAGAAAACCTACCGTGTTATTTTCGAGAATCTTTGCAAAGTACCCAGTACCTTCCGACGTGAACTTATTCGTCGCCATTCTCAGTGTTGTAATAGTCTAAATGAGAATTTCATGCTCGTAGAAAAATCAACAGATCGAGTTTACCTTATTGTTAGACAAAGCATCAGCTAAATACTCGATACCTTCCATGCCATCGATTCCAATTCGGTTTCTCGAGAAATCAAGTTCAGTCAATGACTAAAAAACTCCAATTCAGTGAAAAAAATTGCAAAACTAAGATCTTACCGTGTTATTCCGAAGATAGTCTGCCAGATATTTCACTCCTTCAAGTCTCGTATTAACTCGACTTAGACTCAAAGTCTTTAGGTTCTATAGAAAAACTCCATCCGAATGCAAAATCAACGAAGAAGACTTTCTCACTACCGTATTCCTTTGAAGAACGTCGATCAAATACTTAATTCCCAAATCACCGAGTTTGTTAAATCCAAGGTCTATCGTTGTTAATGTCTACAACAAATGGCTTAAAGTCCGACTCAGTCTTCAAAAACACTTACAGTGACATTGCAAAACGCGTTGGCTAAATATTGAATTCCTTGCTCTTCAATTTTGTTTCCCGCCAGTCTCAACGTTGTCAATGTCTATCGGAAACATTCCTCCAGTCAAACTAATGGACACAGCAGTTATCATACCTTAGTATTTTGAAGTGCTTCAGCTAAATATTGAAGTCCTTGATCTCCAATGTCATTATTACTCAGATTAAGTTCAACAAAAGACTAAACAAATGATTGATTCAAGAAAAGAGTCTCATTTCGAACTTGCTCACTGTGTTGTAACTGAAAATATCAGTTAAATACAAAACTCCTTCCGCACGAATTTCGTTTCCGTCAAGTTCGAGTTTGGCAAGTGTCTACAAGCCAAGAAAAATCATGAAAGAAGGTGACTAAATAGTTAATTTACTTGTTTGTTTCGCAAAGCTTTTGAAAGATACTCAGTTCCCATTACATCAATATGATTTCCATTGAGATTAATCGCGGTGATTGTCTATACGAACAGTAAGAACATCAAAGCCAGCCATTCTTGTGGAACTTACCGAGTTGTTTCGTAAAGCCACAGATAATAATCGAATATCTTTGTATCCCATTTCTTTATTTTCGAGATTGAGCGCCGTGAGCGTCTGAAGTCAAATAAAATTTCGTCGAATGATGAGGAATTCAATGCTTACATTTCCAGTTCGTAACATTTCAGTAAGATAATGAACTAATTCAGCCCCGATTTCATTCGTAGCGAGATTGTACGTTGTCAAATTCTGAACAAAATCGAAAATAGGTTAAAATCAGTCGAGATTATGTTTACCAGTTTGTTGCGCAGAGTTTGAGACAGATATCTGGCCGCATCGATGGTTATTGGATTTCCCGTCATTCCCAATTTTGTTAAAGTCTATTGGGAAAACAACTTATGAGGACATGTTGAAGAGCGAAAGAATGTTTTACCGTGTTGTATTGTAAGAAATCAGCAAGTTTATGTGCGCCTTGATCGGAAATCTGATTTTGGCCCAATTCGAGTTCTTTTACCGCCTTGATCATCAGTAAGGGTAAATGGATGAAGAGAATTTGCAAGTGCGACTTACCACATTCATGTTGTAAACTAGGGCGAGAGCTAAAAATTCGGCTCC